CGTGAGACTAGGCTCTAAGGAAAGCTGTCTCGGGTGTGGACCAATCAACTTCAAGGACAGTGCATGCATTATCAGAGTTATGTTTTTTGTTTGCATTATGACTGCAGGTATTGTGGTCTATGCAAACATGTCTCCTCGTAAAAAAAAGTGTCAGTTTAGTTGCCAGATAAAAGGGTAAAAAAACAATTATCATATTTTTTACTGGCAAATGAGGTACCAATGATGTTGCAGAGGTTATGGGAGGGTTCGGCTTACAGGACATAACCCGCTGAAATGTTTGTACGGCACGAACTCTCGCCTTCATGCGCACAGCCGACAGAGGGAACCCTCTCACATCCAGACTCGGCCAGAGAGCACAAGCTCACCGTGAACAGACACATGGTGGATTGATCCGATCCATCGTGAACCCATTCATCAAGGGGCACGTCAGTCGACCACGTGCTATGCAAAGTGGCAACCTTGCACTCACTAATTTTATTTTTTCAGAAATAACAATTTAAAAAATTCCGAACAATTTTTTAAAAAAAATCAGCCCTCCCAAACATGTATTACAGCCGTCCTCAAAGCAAATTTCCACCCACCACATATGTAGATGTGGTGTACCCAGGTTACATTCTGCCAAAGCCAAAAAACAAAGCCATCGTAAGACATCACATCATCGCAGCCCCGGGCAGCTCAAAAGTTACAGTACCCTGGGCCAGGCAGATAGATTGCTTGTGTGCGCAAGCAAACGCCACGTGTCACAGAAGCAGCAGTGGTAGCAGAAGCGTTATGAATCACCGCATTAAAATGAGAAGCACTCATCTTAGGCAGGACGGGGACAAAACAATTTTTTAGACGCAACGAACATTCATTACCCAAACGGGTGCCGCACATGGCTTCGTGCTCATCCCATTCCGAAACCACGTTCTGCCTTTCTGCTTCCTCCTTCTCCTCCTCCACGCCACGAACTCGGTGAAACGTAAAAGCGACTCCCATTGCTATGCAAATTGCCGCTTCGCGACAACACGAAGCGTACATTGCCCCCGGTTAGAGTCAACCTCATCGGCCGCGCAGAAAGTATCGGGTGCCGCATCTCGGCGGCGCCGAATCTCATCCCATTCGCATGGCCGACACGTATTGCTACCAGGGCCTCTCCTCCCTCGGCCGATGTCTGGTGCCGAGCCAGAATCTGCGAGCGAATGGGAGTAAATAATTGCGCCTGTCCCTTACCAAATACTGACTTGCCAAATGCACATCCGACACCCTTTGAAGTACTGGCCTGAGCTAAACTCATTTTTTTTACTTTTTTTGTTGTTGTTAAATAAATAAACACACGTTAAATGTGCAAACCTCCTCCTTGAGTTGCACGGCGCAATGATCGCGAGCTCGAAGCGTGTCGCAAACCGCTCAAATCAAAACTCGGCAAAAGGTAAGTGTTAATAGGTGTCTCCCTGCCCAAAGCAGCGTGGGACATTGGCCATCTCCATTCGTCGTGGCACCGAGCCAAAGTTTGAAATGCCACGTTCCTATGGCGGGCGAGTGCTTTGTATCCTACAGGTCGCGCACATTTTTAGTGCGTGTGTTTAAATATGTCGCCTTCGTGGGGGGGGGGGGGGGGGGGGGGTGGGACGCCCAGGAATGATTCAAATATTCGTCACCGATGTTGTTTTGGCTGTGAGTGGGAATCCAACTCGGGTGGCGGGGGTTCGTAGCACGGTGCGCAAACCACTACACTGCCGCTCCCCTGTGGGACACACGTGAACACGCGCACGCCTGCACGCAATCTTAGCCTCGTTTAAAATCAGCGCATTCTACAAATCTCGCGGTGGGGGTGGGGGGAGGCGTTTAACAATCATCGGGCAAGTGCGGCGTGCAACGATGCAAGATAAAATTTGCATTTGAACGGCGGCAAACTGTTTTTCGGTGGAGCAATAAGCAGAAGAAACGAGGTTTTGCATGGGAACTGGGGAACTTGGTAAAATCCCCGCGCAAGACACTCGGTGGAACAAACGCGGCCGTGGCTTTTTGGCTTTTTTTTTCACAGGAGGTGTGTGTTTACACCGGGCGGACAAAGCGCTGGGCGGAGCGGGACACGGAGAACATGACCAGTGCGGAGAGGGCGCCTCAATAGACTCATTGTAGCAGCATAATGACGAAGCGACAGATGGGCGCTATTCTCCCCAGAGAGAGAGAGAGAAAAAGCCACCCACGGACCATCTCATGACACAATTTACTGCCCCCCCCCCACCACCTCAGTCTTCCTCTTTCCCAATGTGTGCATGTGCAACAAAGACAAAGATCCCCCGTGTAGCCTTTTAACAGACTGTTTGTGGGGGCAAGTGCTGTTCGCGAGCACCTATGAAGGCCGCGGGGTGGACGTACGTACACACACACGACGCACACAAACGCACACAAACGCGTATTGTGTTTCGATTATGGCAGGGTCATTGTGTCTTGTGAGAACGAAGTTTGAATGGCCAAGACGTGTGTAAAGCAATGCTTCTCGTGTGTAATAGCCAACAACGGTTTTAACGCAGATTAAGCAATGATTGAATGAACGAATACAAAAAAAACCATTACGTTCGGAGTCAATTCGCCAGAAAGCAGGGAAATATACAATAGGATAACGTTTCGAGCCATGACCCTTATGCCTTTGCCTTAATGTTTTGATTCAAGGGGGCAAGAGATTAATTTAGGAGTTCTGGATGGAGTGGTGGCAAAGTGGTTAGCGCACTGCACCATGAATCTCCCCCCCCCCTTGGGTTAAATTCCCATCCACGGCCAACATCAGTGGCGAGTGATATCTAAAACTAAACTCTTTACGAAACTCTTTTTTTATTTTACCAGGTAATGCCCACTGAGCTACATAGCTCTCTTTTTCTATAAGCGATTTGGCCACAAATTACATCTCAACGAAACGGCTTATCACGTGGAAATTCATAACAACCAAATACTCTAAACGCATATTGCAAAATGTGGAGGGGAAAACCTGGAGAGAAATCCACGCGATCACAGAGACATGCAAACTCCAAATATACAGCAGGCGTCAGGGTCGGGATCGAACCCACGACTTCCTGTATACCAAGCGAGGTAGTTAACACCTCGCCTGGAGCAGCCCTGGGCATCCACAACTCCAGCAAGCCGCACTGACCATAGAGTTGAAATATGGTCAAACATGCATCGTAAGAACAGGAGTATTAATCCCGTTAACATATACGTGGCTCGTCTGCTTGTGGAGTGTCATAACAAGCAACAATACATTGTCTCACGCTTCGTAGGCGACAGCCAGGGCTACATATCAGCCGCGTCTGTCCGATTCAACAACACCCGGGACACCACATCAAGTATACTCTCTCGCTATGGCTTGTGAACTCGTGAGTCACGTTGCCTCCTGCTCCATTCTTTACCAGCCACCCGGAGAATATTCGGTGAGAAATCAAGCCCCTGGCAACCGCAATACACACACACACTCGCACACACACGCACAATGATACAATGCATCAAAGGCTGCCCATAATGACTGGTGTGCCATTGTACTTGCTATACAGGCTTGTGGGCGGTTGCAGCAGTGGTGGTTGTGGAGATTGGCGGTGGTGTTGTTGTTGGGGGTGTGGTGGTGGCGGCTGTCCCTTTGTTTTACGAGATGTATTCGGTAACGGGGACGGGGTCAAAGTGGTGACATCTTATTCCTGGGCAATTCCACCCCCGCCGCCGCCACCCCACCACCCTCCTCCCCTACCTCCTTCACCCCTCAGAATTAATTATCGAATGCTCCGGAATATAAGACGCATTCCCCTGTGTTATTTAAAGGAAACGTTTGTTGGAACGTTCTCACATGCCCCTACTGGACACGTGTAAAAAAAGGAGTTTTACAGCTCATCGGATTCCTCCAGTATAAATGAATATTCTGATTCTGATCTGGTAGGTAGATGTGTGTGTGTGAGTGTGTGAGTGTGTCCAACTTTCATTGACACCGGGCACAATGTTGGAAGTGCGTCTTACTTTCCGGAGAATAATAATTATATCTCAATGACATCGTCACAGGTGAGATCCCTGGCAGGTCTCACTCTCACCGTCTCCTCCTCCCCGTGGGTTCGTGTCCCGATGCGCGTGGGACAGGGTTGAAAGCAGCGGCTTCTATGAAATGTGAGACCCGAGGTTTCTTGTTGACGTGAGAAAATGGGCTGCCGAGCGAGCGGCAATAACAACACCGATGCCGTAGTTAGTCTGGTGGCCATGGTCGAGCGGGGGGGGGGGGGCCCAGACGCCAACTTATAAAGAGGGGGGGGGGTTCAACGGAGGAGGGATTTAGTAGAGTGGCCATGATGGGGGGGCGGGGGGCTTTCAGTGCCCGTTACAACCACACCAGCATGGTTGAGTTTGATTTCAGTATAACTTAATTAAGCTCTGCTGAAATCAACCTCGACGCACATTGAATACTGTGTGTGCGTTGAGTTGTTTTTTGTTTGTTTTGCATTGACCCGGAAAATATGACCGCACACAGGCGCACCAAGTCCAGTTGACGTGTCGCCATGACCGTGGCTACCTGTCACGTGCCGCCCACTTCGTCAGTCTAACTCGAACCCCGAACGATATTTAGCGAGAGATAGCTGCAGTAATCCTCGCACGCAGCCAATGGCGTTGGACACAAAGGCAAATACTCCTCTTATAGCCTCAACAGACTTTCGGGACAAGTGCTGTTAGCGAGCACCTATGAAGGTTCGGTAAGGTACGCGAGAGGGGGGGGGGGTTGGGGGGGGGCACCACGCCTGAGACACGCACGCACGTGTAAGGTTCGCTTTCCGTTCGCTTGCTTTGTCAGGTAGATAGAAAATAAAAATACATTAAAATTAAAAATGAATGTAATTTTTTTTATGTAACTTTTATTTTCTATCTACGTGACTTCACCAAAAAGAACAAATAACATGAATTCCTGCAGTCACGAAAGTTTCAAGTCAAAGTTTTTGCTTGGTCAGCTGTGCAGCTCATGGGCTCGCCTCGTGCACGGGGCCACGTACCGGCCACGCGAACCTGAAGGGGATGCTCACGCGTCCGATGTTGGGACCGCTGAGACTATTGAGGTCAAAGTTGTTTCCTCCGATCACCGGGGTCGAGGCGTTCCCCATGACGCACGGAGTGGGACGGCCGGGCGAGGAGGCAGCCTGATACTGACGGACGCACACCGTGAAGAATGTGTCGCATTGCTCCGCGCACGCTCGGCCGCCTTTGTCTCTCTCGCCGTCGCAACACTCGCCGCTGAGCAGCTCGCCGCGGGGGCTTCTGAAGGTGCCGATTTGCAACTCGAAGATGCCCGATGGAGAAGCGACCTGCCAGAGGGGGTGGGTGGGTGGAGGGGGTGGGGTCGGAGGTTTTGGAGGAGATGGAGGTCATTGTGGGATGTGGGAGAAGGTGAGTGTAGGCGGTGAGTGGTCTCAGAGATACGCGTGGCACGTGCAGACAACGGATTAGAGGTTCTTTGAGCGACACGGAGAGACATTGAGAGAGACGAGACGAGAGAAGGAGGTGGAGTGAGACGCACAGAGGCGTACAGATGCAGACAGACATACGGGAGAGACACAGCGACGTGCAGATACAGAGAGGCTGGAAGGAACACACACAATATAGAGGAAGATATCGAGAGAAATAAAAGTCCGACATACAGGAAGACAAGGAGAGAGAGAAACACAGAGTAACGCGAGACAGAAACGAGGACAGAGACACGGAGATCAAGAAATAGACGGGCAGACAACGAGAGACGCACACACACAGACACAGACGCGAGACAGATGCGGAGACAGAGACACCGAGAAAGACTCACACACAGAGAGAGAAAGGGACACAGAGACAGACACTGGGAAACGGGGAGAGAAAGACACAGAAACGACGGTAAAAAGACGCATGCACGGATAATGACTCGGATAGACGCAACGACTCGGAGGGAGACATGGAGACAGACACAGGGACACGGGTGGTCGATACTGACACATGGGGAGGGCCAGCCACAGATACACAGACATAGACAGACACGGAGATAGTCATGTAGGGAGAAAGACACGGACTCAATGAGAGACAGAGACACGGAGAAAGGCGAAGAGACGCAGATATAGACACAAATACACGACAACACGGAGACACGCACAGAGGAAAAAACTGATTCTTGCATATAGTGATTCAGAGACCGACACAGAGACATCTGGGAGAGATACGGAACATTTATTCTGGGGGCACGTTTACATGAATTGCATATAACGTGCAACATGTTACACACGTGTATACGGTGTATGACCACGGGGACATGTGGTGCTGCTTATCTGAACCCTGAAATGGTTGTGACTGCCTGTGTGTCCGTGCCTGTTAGGGAGCCGAGTTCGATTCCTGCTCACGGCCAACACCAGTGACGATTATCTGAACCGGTCCTGCGCCTCCCCTAGGTCGACTCAGCCTTAAATGAGTACCCTGTGCGGTGTGTAAACATCGCCAATAGGGAAACAAAGGCGGCCGGGGGTGTTGCTGGCAAACCACGCCCTCGCGTGCCATGCCGGCCTTCATAGGTGCTCGCAAACTGCACTTGCCCCAGCAGTTCGTTAAGGCTATACGGGGGATCTTTGTCAGTGTCTGTGTGTTAGTGTCGCGCAGTGAACCCGGCGACTGGAGTTCGATTGCCGGCCACGGCTAACATCAGTGGCGAGTGATATCTGACCCGCAATGACCGGCGTAGTGAAGTATGCACGACGCGGTGTGTGTGTTTGTGTGTGGGGGGGGGGGGCTTCATCCAGCAGTGGATTGATAAGACGTCTGTAAATGTACAACGATGTAGTAGTCGGTGTCGCGTGTGACAGCTGTGCGTGTTTTCTTAGCTCGTGTTTTTGTATCATTTGCGATGTCTTAACGATCAGTAATTAAAATTCTAAGTTTTAACGGTGAGGCAACATTTGATAGGTTCACCGCTGGGGCGGATCATACGGAGCATTTGTAAGCGGATTCTTCTTAAAGCAAAGTAAGAAGGCCGGAATGCGCGTGACAGGAGGTGGGCAACCCGCGGGTCCGGTCCTTTAAAGTGACCGCTTCGTGAGCGTTATTCATGAAGGGCCCACCACCGTCTCGCGTTCACCACCACCACCACCACCAACCACCTACAACCACAGTGCATTGCCGCTCTTGAAATATTGAGCTGTCGTTTTTTCTGTAACCGAATTTCGGGTGAGTAAAAAACAAATAAACGGCCCATCTTGTTATTTTGCGTTGGCGATCCGTGCGCGTGCCCTCACGAGCGAAAGCAAACAAGTTTCGGTTTCATTCATTTGGAGTAGCCCTGTGAGCCATTCGGCTCTTGAACCGGGTGCAACCGCAACAAACAAAAAACAAAAACATGAACAAGAAAACATCTTAAAGTGACACTGGTCGAGTCATGAACACAGATTCGACCCTACTGCCCGTTTAACACGTGTAGGCTTTCGCGACCAATATTATTCATAATCAACGTTTTTGGGTTTAGATCGCGTTATTTATAAATGTGTCGTAACCCTCCACCACCCGACACGGCCAATCAGTAAAAAAGTGTCACGTTGACAAAAGACAAATAGTTCACTGCTTTAGCCCACCGGTGTGTTGAAGCGTGAAACCACAACATTTACAATTTGAGTACGACGTTTCGCTGGTAATTGCATCCAGCATCATCAGGCAATTCGCCCGTGATCTCGATTTCGGCTCTCGAACCTATGGAGAGCATCAACCCCTGGAACTGACTCCAGGCAAAACGAATCGACATTCCGGGCCGTAAGGTTATTTTTGCACGTGTTTTTTTAGATTTCCGATTTGGTTATTCATATTTATACACTCGACTATATATATGAGTGTGTGTATTTTTGTTAAATGTCAGCTCTCTGTTCATTAGAGGATTTCGTGAGAATGCGTGTCCGTTGTTTGCATAATCAATATTGTCCGAAGACTTTGGAGTGATAATGAACCTCCAAACACAGTCGCCTCTAACTTAACATTCAGCGTAACCTGTTCGTCATAGTAATCTATAAACACAACCTAATTCGGCCACAGAACAAGTTGGAAATGCCGTGGTTAACCGTGTATTGATATATACAATAATTGTAGATAAGCAAGTAATACATCTCTCCATCCCTACACGTAAATATATATCTTGTCACTTATATTCTCCACGAACACGCTCATGGTTATCCTGTATGAATATTATGTTTTGTATGTTATTCTCTGTAGTGTGTGTGTCAGCCTTGCGACTAACCGTACAATAACCCGTCCATTGCCAGGACTATATGCAAGCTAGTGATTTGTGTGTGTGTGTGTGTTAAGCATGTATCCTAGTTTCCTACTTGACGGAATTGAAAAGTTGCTAAATGATTGTGAGTGTCTGTCGGGTGTCTGAGTGAGCGGCTGACTTTGGAGACAACTCTTACCTGGGTCCAACCGAACATGAATGCGGCTCCCACAGCGGCGAGTAGCACAGCACGGACGTAATCCATATCCGAGGCCGTGCTCCAGCTTCAAACCACCAGGAGTGACCGCCGTCAGCAACGAGATGGTTTTTTTTTTAGAACAAGGACCGTAGCGACGGTGGATGGCACATCAAGCGGGTGAACGTCGCTTCACGGCACCTCCTGCAGCAGCAGTCAGCCGCTTCGCATGAACGACCGTCTTGCGAGAAGGGAGTAAGAGACGGAAACCATCCATGTGGAACGCGGTTGGCAGACAAGGCGAGTCGAGGAGTCTCTGTGCGAATCACTCGCTAGGCTCGCTCCACTGAAGGTCGGTACCATGCACGGTTGCACATATGGAGCAAGCAGGTATACATACGGCCACACGTGTACACGCGTGCGTGTACACGTGACCACCGGTTACACGTGTGTGTGGTGTAGAGCTATTGAAGAAAGCAAGTTCGACACGAGCTCACAGGCAGACACACAACTCTGCACTTGGCTACTCCGTGCGCATGTCCGCTATCCCCGTGTTATTAATGAACCAGGGGTAAGAGTTGGGGTGACGTGGGGTGGGGGGAAGGGAGGAGGAGGTGGTGGCTGCTGCTGCTGGTTGTGGTGGCTGGTTGGATGAGTGGCTGAGTGGATGGGTGGTGGTGGGTGGGTGAGTTGCGATGCTGCGGCGGAGTGCTATTTATGTCGGGGTAATTTGGGCTGCGGTGGCATTTGGAATGCGCACTGCGCTTGAAAAAAGGTAAACATCACTCAACTGCCCTGGGTGTAACTCTTATCCGAGGCTCCGCAGATGCGTGCGGGGGCTCCGAGTTAAGTTTGAGTGGCGAAGATAACGAGGTAGATAAATTGGAGTGTTGGTTTGTTGAAATATTCAGCGGTTAACTTAAATGCAACGAGCTCAAATCGCGATTCATCAAACAGCTGAACTGTTGTCCAAAATACATCATGGTCCATCATCAACTGTCCGTCGATCACATCCCGAATCAGAACATTTATTTATACTGGAGGAATCCGATGAGCCATAAAGCTCCTTTTTCATAAATGTCCAGTAGGCGGGTCACAGAACGTTACAACAACACAATCCATCTCGCTCCTGAACATGAACTGATCTTCTTAGGTTGTTTCGGTAAAGTCACGTAGGTAAAAAATTTTAATTTTAGTAAATAAAAGTAAAATAAAAATAAAATTAAAATCACGACGTTTCGGAGGCAACAAAAGCTTCCGTCTTCAGGTGGAACCGTCACAGCACGGCTGCTGCATCTTACTTGATGCATCTTACTTGATGCAGCAGTCGTGCTGTGACGATTCCACCTGAAGACGGAAGCTCGTGTTGCCTCCGAAACGTCGTGATTTTTATTTTATTTTATTTTTATTTTATTTTAATTTTAATTTTATTTTACTTTTATTAATTTTATTTTTTTACCTACGTGACTTTACCGAAAAAACCTAAGAATATGAATCCTTGCAGTCACGAAAGCTTCAAATCTAGAATGAACTGATCTCATTTCTCCTCCGCGGCCGTCGACCCGACAAGTCGGGCGTCTTCACTTATTTGGCTGTCATTCCGCCACGAAATATCGACAATTGGCCATCGCCTTTGCGGTAATGTGGCCCCACCTCAAGCCTCGACAGTAAATATGAATACTCTTAGTTTTTTCGGTAAAGTCACGTAGGTAAAAAATGAAATTAAAATTTATTAAAATAAAATATATATATTTTTAAATTAAAATGAATAAATGTTTTTTTATTAATTTTAATTTCATTTTTTACCTACGTGACTTTACCGAAAAAACTAAGAATCCTTGCAGTCACGAAAGCTTCAAATCTAGAAGTAAATATGAAGTCTGATTTGCGTTCGTTTCGATTCATGCGTTCTTCCTCTTTCCTGTCGGTGCAATTCCCAAGCGTGCCCCTGCGATTAGAACAGGTTGACCACGTACGGTGCAAAAGAAGTTCTACACACGTACCTCTCCAAGCCCAGCTCCTTGCAATGCATGGACTTGACACTTCGCTCCCGTAATAATTGTTTTGATTAGATATTTCAAATGTTTATTCTATGGGAAATTTATTTCAAGCGTGTTCATTGAATTTTAGTCTGTCTCAAGTACAATTCAAGAATCAGCACAAATACGCCAAAGATAAAGGTCCCCCTATAGTTTAACAAACTGTTGGGGCAAGTGCTCTTAGCGAGCACCTTTGAAGGCCGGTCACACATCCTCTCCTGGGTGTGATTATCGCCGCCTAGCGACCAAAAGCAGAATCACAATTTCACGCCACCCATTTCAAAGTCACGCTGAAGCCTACTTTTTCAACATTTACTTTGCATATTCAAGCTCGCATTTTCATTTGACTCCCGTTAAGGCCTTTTTCAGCCCTTGAATGGTGTTGTCCACGTCGACAAATTGGTCATGCTGAAATAGTTCACTTTTCTCGTGGCTTTTGAACATTGGGTAGAGTAATGGCCAAGAACAGTGCGTTCACTGGCTACGGAGGTTCATGGTTCGAATTTTAGCGTCCGTCCCAATTAACACGTTCCTTCGGAGTGGGCAGGTAGGAACTTGGTTGGACAGCGCATTCGTGCACGACAGACATACAAATAATCCCTGGTGGGCAGTGTGGAACCTGTTGTTCCTACCTGTATAAGTGTAGTGTATCGTGTCGTGTATAGTGTGTAGGTTAAACGTTGAGTTTTATAAGGGCACCACGGGGTGACCAGCCCCTCCCCACCCCTCCCACTCAGCTCTCCCCACCCCTCCCACCCAGCCTCTCCCCACCCCTCCCACCCAGGCCCTCCATACCCCTCCCACCCAGCCCCTCCATATCCCTCCCACCCAGCCCCTCCATACCCCTCCCACCCAGCCCCTCCCCACCCTCTCCACCCAGCCCCAACCCCCACCCCATATGCACGACAGACAAATAATCCCTGGTGGGCAGTGTGGAACCTGTTGTTCCTACCTGTATTACTGCCGGTATAACCACCACATGCGTTGTCCGCTTTGCAGTAGACGTTAGATCTGGGCTGTCATTCGCAAGAATAGGCCATTGCGTGCCAGAGTCGGGGTCCAACTTTGATTTCCCAGCATAACTCCAATTGGGATTATACATGGCAATCGTCGCCCTCTACTGGCAAACTAATGCCCGCTCGTAGGCAAAGTGCGGAGTTACTGTATGCCCCACGGGGACAGCTGCCACTGGGGGAGTGCCCTTTCAAAAGTGTGAGATGTGATGTAATGCACAGAGCCATTAAAAAGAAAATCGCATATTGGAAAACGAAGTGAAGTGGCACTCCCAAATTAAAATTGAGACGTTTCAGTTCAGCGGGATCAATTGGCAACTCCTTTTGGGTTTGTAAAATACGTTTTTAAAATTGATATCCACCCCACCACTGTTGGCCAATGCACAAGCATATGCCAAATATTAAGTTTTAATCTAAAGTTTAGTTTTTAATCATACCAACCTAAAGACGTTCAAGCCAGAAAGTGCCCTCATTGCGCAAGGCAATGTTGAGAATAGACTACCTTATTTCACGTTATGCCTGAAAGATTGTCATAAACCATAAAATGCAGGCGTCAAGGTTAAAAATGGGCCATTGTGGTCTGCGAGAACCATTTTTCGAAGGTGAAATGCACCCTTTCAAATGTGTGTTTAGATTTAAAGCCTTAGTGACTACAGGGATTCATATTATTGGTTCTTTCGGTAAAGTAACGTAGAAGGGAAATAATAAAATGTGTGTAACGTTGTTTTACTTACCCATTGACCGAGTCAGGACCCAAAGGAGAATTTTATAACCTTATACATTTATGCTGTACACGTTAGACATTGCCTCTATTGGGAGCCACGATTGCAAACACAACTCGTTTAAACATCCAACAAGCTTACTCAAATGACACAATTTTATTGAAAACACTTTCATGTTACATTTATTGTATAAGTTTGACTACCAGCCAAAGCTATAAAAAAATGCACATTTACCAACTCGGGAGAGCTTAGCAAGGGGCAGTATTGAACTCCTAACACCCACGTTTTTAATTCACCCAGGGATTTAGTTCTGAATTATACTGGTAAAGTAAAATGTACACTCATTTTTCAAATTTAAGTTTTAAATTTTTGCAGTGTGGAAGCCATAAACATCTCCAACAGCAATGTGAACTGCATAACTCAAAATGTGTCCAAAAACCACACAATTACACCACATTGCCATTGCACCTACAGAAAATACAGCCAGTCAATTCTTTAATGTGTATTTTCATAACTTGCAGTCTTTCAATTGTTTCTTTTGAACAATGAAAATGTCCACAATGGAAAGTGTAAAAATGTGCGGTTAATACTTTCAAAACAGTAGTAATGATGCAATTTGCACGCACTGGGGTTCTTTTCCTAGTGATGTTTTTTTTTACAGCATTATCATTGCATTTTTTGGCTCGTGCCGAGCCATCTACAAACGATGTTTATCATATAAATGATTTCCAGCATCCCCTTTGGATTTCCAACTAAACCAGAAATGGCAAAAGAGCCACAAGACACAACAGAGCAAGTCAATAATATTCCAAAGTACAAGCGCAATGTTTTGTTCGTTTTTATTGTCAGGAATAGAGCAAATTATTCACGAATTGTAAAATACAGATATAGTTGCTCTTCAATGCACAATTTCTATCCTAATTAAAAAATGTACTTTTATTCACCGGATCTTTATTGACTGCTCCATTTTCTTGAACATTTTACAACGTATAAACACAAGGACACACCCCGGCATGGGAATACAATTGAACACTTAACGCAAGTTCAATTACTCAAACGTGTGTGCATTCCCATACTGTCACTGCCCCTATGGAGTGGTAGAAAGTCATAAAAAAAACATGACTTATAACACAGAAGAAATTAGCAAACAACGTCTTTGCCCCCTTTCGAGTCGTTTAAGAGGGCGGGTAGTACTGCCCGTAGTTCCATGGGTTGTGGTAGTTCTGGTAGCTTCCTGGGTAGTTTTGGTAGTTGTAATGCTGTGGGCACATTGCATACAAAAGGTACAGTCAACTGGGGCCACAACAACAACAACATATCATGTAATTAGTATTTTTAAAGACAAAAAAATATCGCTTCCTGTGATTGGGCTATCCTACACGAGTTTGCAGATTTAATATAAAACATTTTGAATTTGTAGCTAGGTATTCCACCAAAACACTCGGCCAGTGAAATTTTAATCTCTCAAGACCATGGTAGGCAACCCGGGACATGCAATCTACATACATCTACCAGCGCTGTGTGTCAAACTAAATACAAGGCTTAACAAATTACCCACAATTACACAAGTAACATTGAGCTCTGTAGATTGGATGGTATAGTGATACACACACAGCACTATGAACCCGACTGATTCCTGGCCACGGATAATGTCAGTGGCGAGCGATATATAGAGATCACTAGCCTGAAGTACCCGGCGCGTTGCCCGGGAGAAAAATATATTTCAAAACTTATCTTTAAAACATTACATATACATACACAAGTACTAAGCTATTGTGAAAGACCGGCTTTCCCTTTGACCATTTGTCCATCAACAAAATTATAAGAGGCTTGAAGAAGTCCTGAATCCAAAAGTAATAGAAAGTGGCGGGTAAATAGTTGATCTAAAAAGTTTACAAAAATTGTCGACCTCCCCACCAAAAAATATTTTTACCCCCCCCCCCTCATATATACATACACACCCTACATACAATAGTGAGTAGCATCTAATGACTATTGTAGTATCTGGCTCTACAATATTGACCCTACAGTAGTATCTACCGACTCTACAGCAGTATTAAACTCTACATTAGGATCTGCTGACTGTATAGTCGTATCAACCAACTCTATAGTAGTAAACACTGGCTCTACAACAGTAGTATCTCATGACTATAGTGGTATATACTGACTCTAGTCGTATCTGTTGACTCTATAGTCGTATCCACTCACTATGGTAGTATCTGCTGATGCTATACCAGTATCTACTGACTCTATAGTCGAATCTACCCACTCTGCAGCAGTATATACTGACTATAGTGGTTATCTACTTACTGCACTGTTATCTACCGACTCTACGGTACTATCTACCGACTCTACAGTCGTAACTACCAACTATAGTAGTAACTACGAACTCTACAGTAGCATCTACTGACTGTAGTAGTATTTACTGACCGTAGTAGTATCTGCTTACTCTGTAGCAGTATCTGCTTACTCTACAGTAGCCTCTACAGACTCTGCAGGAGTATCTACCGACTCTATAATAATACTACTAACTCGACAGTAGTCTATACCGACTATAGTAATATCTACTAACTCTATAGAAGTATTTACAGACTCGATAGCAGTATCTACGTAGTAGTAGCTATACAAACTCTATAATATTATTTGCTTCTTTCGATAAAGTCATGTAGATAGAATTTTTAAAAAAATAAAGTGAATACAAATAACAAATATATAAAAAAGCCCATTAATGTAGACTAGCCTGGCAAATTCCTTTGTCAAGGCGCTCTTCCCCCTCCAACCCAGCTTAAATATACGCTGCCAAGCCTGGTGGTGTTCATTCAGACGCTGTCTTTCCGACAGACCTGTTCTTCACCTGAGGACGGCTGCTTGCGTTGTGGCCGAAACGTCGTGAGAATTATTTTATTATGTTTTGTTTTTATTATTTCCCTTCTACTTGACTTTACCGAAAGAACCAAGAAGATGAATCCCTGCAGTCACGAAAGCTTTAGATCGAAATGTAGCCTGGTTATTAAGTTTGGTGAGTGTACTGGCAGTCTATAATGTAGACTGTAGCAATGGTTAAGCTGGGTGAGTGTACTGGCAGTCTATACCTCAATTAAGGCTACAGTCTACACTATATGGAAAAGGGTTGTACATTTTTTATTTACTACTGTTGCATAAGACAGCTGCTAATTTCTTAGTTTGCTAATTTGTTGCCGATATCTTTCTAGCATCCACGATCAATATTTGTCTTTTTCATATTGTTTAGAGTAACACCAGTATGGGAGGATGCCTACTTGGTTCACTAAATGTGGACAATGTAACTTTTAGTGACAAATAATTTTGGGATGAGCCTTTAACAATGAGCCGAGTATTTCCACGTTAAGTCCGCTGGCTCACGGCGACACATTGTGGCGCTCACCTGGTACCAGTTGCTGTAGTTGTAGGCCGCCTGGACAGCGTTGGGGTCAGCTGGATGCTGCATGGGGAGGGGCGCGGGTGCTGCTGCCGCTGCCGCTGCCGCCGCCGCCGGGTTCAAATGCGCCGCAATTACCGGGGCGGCCACCGGCTCTTCCAGACGGAACCTCTTCTCCTCCGGCTCCTCGGCACTAATGCAACACCAGATTTTGATATTGTCATCGGTTTGTAATAAAAAAAAGAATTGCCCAACTTGGCACATCTACCCAAAGTAGAAATTCCGCGTGAAAAAAATGTCGTGGTTGTTTTTCCAAGTATGACGCTTGAATTAGCTTATTCTTACAATCACAATTATGCCTCAAATTTGTTGTGTTAAAATAACTTGACGATATGCAAATATTACATAATTAGGATATTGCGGGAGTAATAGACCAGATGGCGAGACACTAAAATAAAATCAATTCTTGAATTGTCGGGGTAGTAAATTATTACATGCCGATTACGTATGGTTAAAAACGTATGGATAGATTATTTCTTTAAATCAAAGCAAGTCATCGTCATCACAACCATAAACGGTGTTATGACTACTATTAGCCAAGAATGTCTGTTTGTGTGCAACGCATGTGACGTCATTCCACATGCCGCACCCCCCCCTCATTAATATTCATGAGCGGATGGATTTTTACACTAACGCAGAACGTCAAGCGGAAACATTTTTTTCCTGCAAATTCGCTTTAAGTTTCACATTTCTTTATTCAAAGTGAATCTAATAAATAATTCTAAGCAGCAACAAAGTGATTTGGTGTCTTTATTTCTTCAGCACTTCAGACAAAAGTTAAGTCTAATTTATGCTTCTACATTATGGTAAAATAGACATTTCTCAGAAATTTTCCAGATATTGTATCGATTTCCAATTAATTTCAACCCCAGCGACCGAAAGCAGAAGAGAATAAAGTATCAGAGCAATAAATTTGAACAAATTGAAGGTCAGTTATATACAGCGCTAGTGACATGAAGTGGGATGTTTTATGACGTAGTTTTGTGCCAAATTTACTGCCATTAATAGTGCTACAGTGAAATGCAGTTAAGTGTTTGATGACATACTTTTGTGCAAGATGTACTGCCATTAAATTTACACAAGATACAATTATACTTTGCTATAAATTTTCGTAAATATTACAGCTTCCGTCCTAGGACGGGCAAAAATCTAGTCAAAACATAAAACAGAAAGGTTTATCTTACCCATTCTCAGTTGGGGCTCTCTTCTTTGCAGTGGAATGTTGTCTTAGAAGTACTTGATGTTCATCGTAGGCAGCTAGCAACCTGCATAAATGGCATGAAAACAGCGAAGCATAAAAACTAGTGCAGAACACGCAAGCCACTCAACGTCGCTACAAACGGTGCAGGAAGGGAGGAAAAAAAAAATTTGACGGCATGAAAATGGGGGCGCTCGCCTTTGCCAAAATAAAAAGGTGACCATTACCCACAAAAGGCTGGCTCAGCCCTTTAGTACCTTTTCCAGCATGCCTCGGCCACCCACAGCATGTGTTCTGTGCAGAAACATCAAGCCTAGTCTAGTGACGGCAGGATAAGGGAGAAAACACATCAATTACACCCACCAGCTCTCATTGGCACACAAAAGCACAGGCTTTTTTTTTTCTAAATTCCCAATAATGCATGCAAGACTGGGAAATGGTTTTACGCGCCTCTGCTTGTGAGGGAAGCCCTCGGATTGGAGTGTCAGGAATGCTCACTTTTTCACGTCCATGCTGAAGTCTTCCAGGAACTCCACTTTGCGCTGGGAGAAGGTGATTTTTGTTTCCATGGACAAATCGCTGCTCTGCACCTTCTCAAAACAGGCCATAATGTGCTCTTCATTGACTGCAATATCACCACTGAACTCCAGCTCCAGAAGATTTAGGTAAATCTTTGTGTTCATCTGAATTCAAGGGCACAGAGAGCAATAACATGAATTTAGTGTGCGATATCCTTGCAGTTCTTCACTTACAAGTATACATAATTAGCTGTTAAAATGGCATATACAGTAAACCCTTGGATTGCGAGCATAATTCGTTCCGGGAACGTGTTTGTAATCCAAAGCACTCGTATATCAGTTGTGATCACGTGACGCTCGGCAGTACAAAGTGTAAACGTACTACTCGTATTGTAAGACCTCGCTCGTTCATCAAATTCATATTCATTTAAAAATTTTGCTCGTCTTGCAATACATTCGCAGACCAAGTTACTCGCAATCCAAGGTTTTACTGTAACCTAAAGATGAATTATATGCGTCAACACAGTTGTAAAAACAGGTCAAGTAACAGGACAACCTTACCGAGTCCTTTTCGATGGCATCGAGTAGAACCTTGCGTGCTTTCTCCACGGTTTTCTCCACCTTGGCGAGCATGCGCGTCAGCTTGATGGCATAAAAGGAGGCCATTTCTGGGGTCTTGGCGCCTTCCATGGCCTCCCGTAGCAGAGTCTCGGCAGCGCTGAAGTTGCCCTGCCGGCGCTCGAGGCTCACACGCCGCAGGCGAACCATCGCGAGCCCAGGTAGAGACTCCTCCAGCGAGCGCAGCACTCTGCGTGCCTCGTCCAGGTTACCTGCAGGCACGCACACAGAGGGGGTGTTCAGCGACCGTGGTGCAATAATGCTGTCTTGAGAAGACAACTAAAAACATTTCATGGCTCCGTTTGACTTAAGAAAAGTGGACTTGGGCAGGATGTGTCACTCAAACAGATGAGGGCTGGTAGGCGAGGATGACAAGTGTGAATTACATTATTGAACCAAACGTGTTTCCAGATTGTATTTGCATGGCTCGCTTGTAGGGCATGTCAATGTTAAAAAAATGTCACGAAACACAAGGTCGCTGTTACGTGCAACTCCTCCCTTACCCTGCTGCTCCTCGAACGCTGCCCACAGCAGATGGATGTTGTGCTTCTTTGGCAAGTGAATCATGCAGGCGCGCCTGAACACGTTCTGCACGCCCTCCAAACTGTGTTCTTCCATGTACTTTGCATACTGCAAGGCAAGCACACGACAGTGAAACATTATAGATTTGAAACACGACGCTGCTGTAAACAGTACCTCAAACAGTGCTCCTGTGACCTTAATAGCACCAATCAATGTTTAATTTACTCGTTGCTGCTGTTCAAACAAGTGTATATACTAATAACTAGATATATGCTGCATGCACACAATCGTTAGCACACCCATCAATTCAAATGATGGGTGTTTTAACATTTGTGTGCCTACTTCCTTCACTTGAGTAAAATTAAAATGATCCAGAAATGCAATTGAAGAAATACAGACCAGACCATTCACCACGCATCGAATGAAGCAATTTCCTGGCCAACTGATCTGCACATAAGATGTCTAAAGCTGCAAACTCATCCAGCCATGTGCAAGCAAATCTGATTGTAAACACTCACCTTGATCCAGAACTCCTCGTAGAGAGCACACGCGATGACACAGCGCTCGAAGAGGACGACCACACGCTCGTGGGTGCCGTTGTCAATCTCAAAGTCGAGGTACTCCTTCCAGTTCTTCAGCTGTGCCCTCTCCAGTGGCTTCACGTGGAAGTACGGTCGCTTGATCTGCATAACGACGCACACAGGTCAGTCGGTGCAAGCCAAACGGTGACCAGGTAGTGAAAACATCCTTCAAAAGGTTTACACACGTTAAATCATGCACGGGTATTTCTAACGAGCGATGTTCGCAAAAACGACGGCTTGTCAACAAATGTGAGTACATTTATGAAAAACTAGCAGTTTATGACAACTTTCGTCACATTTATCATCACACTTTACAGGAGTAAATGTACTAAGGTCACGGATGATGCAATCAAAAATTGTAAGCGTTAAATGTGAAACAATCCACCGCCCCTTAACAGGTGGCAAGCCAGAACAGTTTTCGGACTTCAAAAGCGATAGATTTGACAATGTTCAAAATTTCAGATTCCTAGCCATTCCCAAATATCACTAATACACCAAGTTGTGATCGTCTACATGCAGTATATCACTTACCCCTTCCTCGAAGGTCCACCGCTTGCTAACCTCCTGTTCATTCTGGAAGAAAATATCTTGCCGCGTGCCAATAATTCTCTCTCGTAGCTTTTCCGTCTCTGCATCCACCTGGAAAACACACCAATATTTGTTTTTATTGCCATGCCAAAAACTATTTAACGAGATAAAATGCATTTTCCTGGTCTGATGGACATCGAATGTGCACATGTTCAGCTCAGCGAATCGCATCTGTTACTAAAGCACCACAGCCAATAACATAAAATGCCAGCAATCCCACAGCAAGACATGAATAACCATTCCGTATTCTTTACAATAGCCGACATTGAACCATTCACCCACTCGAGAAATTCGAAGAATCGTCACGACTCGCAGATCAAGAATATATTGATTTTAGTTACCATCTCATTTAAAGTTTACATTTGGTTTGTGTTATCCTAAATGTTAAATTCACATAAGTATATATTTTACATATATTATTCTCACACATATTCAACGTATCTTTAGCATAATGGGTTTTAATCGTGGAATCTATGCATCATTAGATGCCTAGTGCTAAAGTTATGGTAGATCGGTATATATGTTAAACTTATTTCACACCGTACATAGCCAACTGTGCTAATTGGAGGCGCGTGGGGGTTGTTTAACCATACTTATGCACTGACATGTTTAAAGTGGGGGCTACAGACATGGCAGCATATATAACACCATTTATAGGTGGCTTGCTATCAAAGCACCATCTGGTCGAGTGCAAATACCACCGATAAAACGAGGGTAATCCCTTTCACGGCAGTGGGCGGTTTTTCTAGAACTTATTAGAACCCACCTTGACTTCCACATTTTCAACCTCCATCCCGGGTGGCTGGTCATCTCCAGGGGGGCCTTCGATGCCAGGCGGCGCATCCCCCCCACTGGAGACACCCACGTCTTCGTCGTCTTCCTCAACTCCCCCGACTCCTTGTTCCCCGGCCTCAAGTCTGCTCGACACCAACTGTGCACGCAGCTTAAGGAACTCGTCCGTTGACAAGATGTCTTTAGGCTGGTGGTTGTTCACATGTTCCTTGAACCTACGTGGCAATTGCAAACAAATCAGTGTACAGGTGGCATGGTGACCGAAGAGCTCCGAGCTGGCACTGAGGTCACGCGTTGCAATCCAGGCAGCCATCTGCTATTAAAGAACCCAATTTAATGGTAACAAGGTGATCTCTTTGGATGATCACCAATGACTGCAAATAAACAAGCACATCCAAATAGGATACATGTTGTGTATTTGGACATTTAGACAATCATTCATTTACACAATGCCATTTGAAAAATATTTTGCTGAAAATGAAGAAAAAGACGGCAACTTTAACGGCTCTGAGCACGCAGCCACACAGAAAAACAAGACAAGGGTGTGACACAGACTGCAAACAACTCACTTGTCAAAGTGGTGGCTATAGAGCTGTGTTGGGATGTTCAGCACCATGTCATACACGGCTGTCACCTCCCTCAGGCGGATATTCTCCCTCTCCCACGAGATGAACATTTCCCAAAGTTTGTCCGAGCGAAAGTCTGTTCCCGCTGCCGCGACGGCCAACTCGAAAAGGCTGCAGGGTTTGAAAGTCAACACAAGCATCGTTATTGCAACTGTTTCCCCGTACTCTGAAACCACAAATTATATTTAAAAGATTTGAATCAAGACAAATCTCCCATATTGTTAACATATACCCTTGCTGTGTGTCTTAGATTATCCAGCATGGGTCTGTAACTTTGTCCATATACTTTCAAGTTATGGCCAAAGGAGTCTTTATGGAACTCTAAGGACATCACCCTTATGCATTTTAACATGCAAGTAGGGCGACATCACTACAATGTTCTACAGCTGACCGTGATTTCAAAGGCTTGCCATCTTATTAACGATCTTCAAACTCATGGCAGACAGTTTAAAGTGCAAATTTAAAGTTACGTGTGGCAGTTGTGCACATACAATGATAAAATAGAACATTACATGAGTATGTTTTTACACGAGTCCTAGGTACAACATGCATTTACATTAAAAACATATTTTATGCACACCTTCGAATCTTCGAGACGGTTTCAGGGCAGTCTGGGTCGAGCAACTCAATCTCAAAGTTAATGTAGTGAATCCAGAGGTCCACGCTGAGGGGTATGGCCTGCAAACCACGTCTAAACACCTACACACAAAGAGGAAAGGGTTACAGAAATGGGCCAGAAAGTTAATAGCCCACCATCCTCAAGAGCACATAGCCATATATCGCCTTCCCAAAGCCAGGACCGCAAATTTGTTTCTGCTCAGGAATTGTGTTTGAATATTCCAGCATTACCATGCTTGCGCAGGTTGGAAATACATCACAATGCTCAGCTCTCCCCTTGTATTCTTGTACTCTTCAAGACGTCCAGCATAGCTCATCGAAGGGGGGTAGGATGTGGGGGGCTTGGGATACAGACCATAAGGCATAGACCCATTAGAGTATCACCACCATAAAACCATGTACCTCTTTTCGAAATGGACTGGTGGCATAAAAATTAAACCGGCAAACGCATCGTATGGTTGAAATTTGAACGCAGCAAACACACCTATTAAGAAAGTTGAAATTAGCCAATTAGGCACAGTGAGAGCAAGACAGCCCTGGCCTAATCAAATGGTAGCTACTGGCAAACTTGCTGCACCCCACAGCTGGTTAAAGCTGCGGTGCCACCTGTTGAAAGACAGAGAACATGTTAGCAGTACAACATGAAGACAAAATGCAACACTGGCGCGAATCAGACAGCAGATCCTAAAAACAGAAGTCATGTTGAAAGGGAGCATGCGTTGCAAGTTCAAAAGGCTTGCACGGGGGTAGCCAAAGTGCCTAATTTTAAGTATTACTGTCCATAAATTGTGGCTTCCACTTTTAAAGGAACTTGAGTGAATTTGGGCAAGGACTTATGAAACAAGCAACGCTATGTTTGTGGAGTAAAGTCCATGCCACCACCGAGAACGCCTCTGGCTCTACGATCTCGGTAAAGGCATGTCCCCGTTGCCGAATGGGCCATCCGAATCTCACCTCCTCTGCCTGCTTCACGTTGCCAAAGCGCTTTTCCAGATCTGCATACTTCTTCCAGTAGCCGTAGCAGTACGGGTAACGCATGAAAAACTCATCAAATGCCTTTCTTGCAGCCCACACATGGTTCTGTAGCAACAAGAAAAATATAAAAAGTTAATATTGTACCATAACTGTCACAAATCTGAATGTCAAATATGAATAATACATTTTACAAGAATGTTAACATTAAAAAATTATAATAAAACCATGAACATAAAAATAGCCAAGAACACACGGCCTTACCTCCTGCTCAATGTACTGCAACAGGTATGTCCACCCAGTGAAGTCCTGTGGGTTCTCCTCTACGGCCTTCCAGTACTTGTCAAACTCTGGTGGGAAAGGTGGAATCTCCTCCTCTGGGTCGTAAAAAGACGAGTCCCCCACCACCGTCGAATTCCTCTCTGCACTCACTACAGCTGCACCCTGGGTCTCAGCAACTTGAGGGGAAACTTTGCCCTCTTCCTGTCCTAAGACAGAACCCGCATTCACGTTATTCGCTTCCGTGCTCAACATCTCTGCTGGCACTTTGTCCTGTGTATCCATAGAGTCCCATTTATCACCAACAATTTCTGTCATCCCTTCTGGAGCATTTTGCACAGGTAAAGAAGATCCTTGCTTATTGTCAGCAGAAGAAATTGTTGGCTTGGCAATGCTGTCCACAGGACACGACAAAACGTGCCCACCGTCTTCGGCTGCTTTTGCCAACTCCTTCGGAACGGGTGCGAGAAATTCTGGGACTTGTTCATCATAAGCTGCGTCCATCATGTCCACACCGTAGTCCACCAGTGGCCGTTGCTTCTCTTCAGATACAAACGTGTGATTTGTATTGGAATCTCCATTGCTCCAGTCAGCCCCAACTTTATTTTCCGCTAATTTAAGTTTGGTCGTCGATGGGTTTGGAACACCATCCAGCTGCTCATAATCAGCAATCTGCATGTTGGCGGGATCTGAGGAGCAAGTATCAAAGAGTGAGGTTACTTCACGAATACGTAGCAAGCAAACAGATGTGAATAAGGCAGTACAACCTGTGCGCTAGGGTTTTAATGCCAAGCCCAATATAAGCCAGCACTTGGCAAACACCAAGCCGGATCCTAATGGGAGGCATGACTAACCACGGTCAACAATTCTGAGCTCGTCACTATTTATAAGAAGCCAGGCTTCTTAGCGACATGTCTTCAAGCTTGCCTGACCTTTTAAAACGAGTAATTGCTTTAAAAAACGTCAGTAAAAACAAACATCACTGAACCTTAATGTAACCCACTGATCACATGAAAGACTTTAAGGTCTTTAAAAAAATCCCTTTGTCCACAAACGGCATACAGTAATACCTCCTCGCTTTGTACACGACTTTGCATAACGCTGAGAACACATACCACTTGGATTGAAAGTAACAGCACACTTTCCACAACCACTAGAGTATTTGCATAGAATTAAAGTATAGACCGAGCTTGACAGGCATATAAAAAACAAGATCCTTGGGAATTCAATGGGGAGTTCATACATTGATGCACTTTGCCGAATGGGACAATTATAGCTTGATGCAACTGCTCTTCCATTTATTGAGGTGGGCTTTGCAGTTGCATCCAAAGGTCGGCGACTTAATAACCCGAGAGCCAGACAATAAATGTTGAGAGTTGACCACTGAAAATCACAGTACACGGAGGGATCTAACAAGACGAAATGGTGAGGTGTGGTGGCACCGATGGTATTCTGTGATAACCTCTTGACATTGACTTTTTCTTCACCCTAACAGTGTGTGTGTATAATAGGGTTGGAAAAATACTAAACCTGTCAACTTGATTAAATGCATCCAAGCTTAAACTTGAAATACAATGCTTAGGGTTTGTCGAGTAAGGCTTGTTAATATTTAATCGGAGGCCATAAGCCTAAGCTTTTCAATATTAACTCCGTTTCCATATGCGTTTAAGCATAACAAATACAGATTTTTGCACGCGATAATTGTGGGCGTTTTAAAATTAAATACGTAACTTTTAATGAACTAAAATCAATGCTTATGCCACATGCATAGAATTGTAGGTCTAAGAATATACTGTATTAGCAAGGATTCAAACTCCGTATAAGTAACCACGGTTGTTCAGAAAATGACTGAAACGCCAAGCGGCCAGTTGACAACTGCACTAACAAGGGTGTTTGGATTAGAGAAACCTTTTAGCCATGTTAGCTTCTAAATGCACCACTATGGCCAAAAGGAACCGATTCCCGAATGCAATAACCGACCCATGGAGAGGGCGAATCCTCGCAAACCTACTTTACCGGAATGTCAAAACTCAAAATATATTTTACATTCACCAAACACGCATCGTGCCAGGCCGTAAAAATGAGACGACACAAGGCAGAGAGACAGTACAAACGAGACGAAACATACAGGAGGACTGGCAGTAAAGATTATGATTTCTTTTAGCCAATTAAGTGCTACAAGAGCAGTAGGCAAATCAGGCAAGATAATAAAAGCCGGACAGCACAAACGCGACTCGGCAATGCTGGAATACACGCGGAAGTTCGCGACCATGTCTCATACAGAAGTACCCCGCCAACGCTCCTTACTGCAACACGTGGCCCCTAATAAAACAAACAATATCAAGCAATTGATATGTTTACAATAATGTTCATGAATGAAACTTGTTACACCACGCTGCGGGATCGGGATCGATTTCATCATCATCCCTTCATGGTCGATACATAAACTACCATTTTGTGAGGTGAACAGTGGATGCCGTAGAAATGTGGAATTTCTCACCGCATGCCACTCCAATGAGCAGTTAAGACAATTGCATTCGTTCGTTAAGGCCGTTTAATGTGTTTATTTCAGATAAACGTCTTTAACGTAGAACGCCTCAAAGTACGAAGCAGTAACGTGAAATGCGGCCTGCGTACTGTACACACCACATCGTTTAAAAACGCACAGATACATCTCCAAAAAAAGACGCCGCGAGATTGTTTTTATTACAATAACTTAAGCTACAGCAACAAGATCACAGTATTCTGGCGGGCAACGACGACGCTCCCGCGCTTTCAACGCATCTCTCTCAATTTTTTTTACAGCGCGCCACGCAGGCAAATAGAAAGCCTCTCATGCGAAACACTCCACGCAGGGTGATAGGCAGTGTGCGGGAAACAAAATATCCGACGTGCTAAACGAGCAACGTCCGTGCGCACCGTCTAAGAAGAAACGGCGAGCCGACAAACCTTGCGATGCCGACAGATGCAACGGATTCACGGCTCCGTCCCGTTCCCCCGCGGTGCCGAAGCCTCCTTCATCACTGGCCGCCATTTCACCGACGCAAGCTCCGACTGCGCATGCGCGGCTGATGCGCGTTTCCGGCGTAAAAGAGAATTACGTCACCGCACGAACCGGAAGTTGGTTGTTGGCGCCACTTGAATTAAAAGTTAAACTTTTTTTTATTTAAACAAAATAAAATGACGCGGGCACCTTAGCGTTAGAGCGTTGCGCATCGATGCGCAGCGCTGCAGGTAAAGAGCATATGCAAGCGGAATTTGTGCCTCTCATTCTAATGGGATGCATAAAATATTGACCTTTTTGTGCTAACGACCTCGCCTGATACGCATGAGTAAGTGGGTTCGATCCCGACCCCTGCAGCCGTATATTTATATTATGTAATGTATTATTTTCTCTTTATACGTGACTTTACCGAAAGAACCAAATAGTTTATATTTGTAGTTTGCGGTGTTTCTCTCCCCGTGGTCGCGTGGATATTTTTCTCCGGGTCCTCCGGTTCTTTTCCCCTCCGAATTTAGACTCAACATCGCGTGTTTAAGGCATTTTGGCTGCTGTAAATATCCACATGGATAAGGGGCCGTCTATAAGTGACGTCACGCACCTAGGGGGGTGGTGTCAAACATTTGTGACGTCACGCACCTCGGGGGGGGTGTCAGACATTTGTGACGTCACGCACCTAGGGGGGGGGTCAGACATTTGTGACGTCACGCACCTAGGGGGGGTGTCAAACATTTGTGACGTCACGCACCTAGGGGGGGGGGTCAGACATTTGTGACGATGTGTGACGAGGGGGGGGGCGGTTTGAGAAATGTGACGTCACATCAAAATGCGAAACTTTAAATAAATATAGACAACACGTTCTACTTAATTAAATTGACTTTATAATAAATGTTTTGTCCTCCAACATCAGAGTGCAGCGCCACATTAAATACGCACTACAATGACAATAGTTTAAAGCGATTTGAAGCATGTTTTATTTTTCGGGGGGGGGGGGCAGAGATTTGTGACGTCATATTTAAGTGGGGGGGGGGTCCTGACTTTTTGTGACGTCATGTGACGAAGGGGGGGGGGGGGTCAAAAATCGTAAAAAATCGCGTGACGTCATTTAAGGACGGCCCCTAAGCCACTTCGTTGACCTTTCATTTGTGTAGGCCAGGTCAATTATGGAAAATAACTATATTCTTGGTTCTTTCGGTAAAGTCACGTAGAAGGGAAATAATAAAATAAAAAATTGTTTTCATTTTAACAAAATAATAATAAAATATTTTTTCCTCTTTTTTTAAAATATAAAAATAGTTTTTGTTATTTTAGAATTTCCCTTCTACGTGACTTTACCGAAAGAACCAAGAAGATGAATCCCTGCAGTCACGAAAGCTTTAAATCGAAAACTACCCAGCACCTTACCTGGTAAAATAAAATAGCTTAGCTTAATGATGGAGTGCCCTTACCAATAACTGGTAACCCAGCAGCATGAGATCCATAATGTTCTAACCGGTGTAGCTTTTTTGTAATTTAAATGGTTTTGCACCATATTGGTGTGGTAAGCTAGTAGGGTGATGGGACTGAAAGATTGATAACCACAACAGTTTATAAAAAAATATAGTAGTAGTTTTTTACCCTTTTAAACTGGTACAAAACTGACACCTTTATTCAAGGCATCATGTTTGCAATAACCACAACACAAGTAGTTAAAAAAGCAAACAAAAAGAAGCAACTCTGATAAAACTCATTCGTCAATAACAATGCTTTAATAACTAGATCACATTTTGATTTCAAGCTTTCGTGACTGCAGGGATTCATATTCTTGGTTCTTTCGGTAAAGTCACGTAGAAGGGAAATAATAAATATATTAATTATTATATATATTTGTATTAGTTCCCTTCTACAGTACGTGACTTTACCGAAATAACCAAGAACATAGATCACATAAATTTTGGCATTAACCGTCCCACCAATTAATGTGTGAAATATACTGTTCATATTCTTAGGTTTTTTCGGTAAAGTCACGTAGGTAAAACATTAAAATTAATAAAAGTAAAATAAAATAAAAATCACGACGTTTTACTCTAATAACTATCGTCTTAATTTACCAATCATACATTACTGGGCCAACTTAAGGTGCGTGACACTCCCAATTTACTTGTGTTTGTCAGTGAGAAAATTGGGTTACATTACACAGTATTTTACAGCTTGGAAATGTCTTATAAAGCGTCGTGAACACTTGTATAGGGAGTTTAACAAATCCGCTCCCTTCATGATTTAAAACAAATATTTAACGAATATAGCAGCCTCTAATGTAGGGGTGGGGAACGTCCGGCCCAGCGAAATCATTTGGGTCTGGCCCTGCCAAGACAACCGCAGGCGGGACTCGAAATTCAATAAATCTAGGAGCCAACCTGGAAAAGCAGTTGCGAGTAGCAGCATCATCATTACCAGCTAACATCACACGCCTCACCAAAGAGAATCAGTTCCAGCCATCACATTAGGGGTGAAGAGTTAATTAAATGTTTGACCAAATATAACAGGCGAATTTTTAAGTTGATAATTTTGTATGGCCCGCGAATGATGTTGTAAATATCCAAATGGGCCCTTGGCAGAAAAAAGGTTCCCCACCCTTGCTCCCATGGCTAGGGGGAGGGGAGGGAGGAGTATTGTAAACTCCCTGCTCAATCGGTTAGCATAAAAACATTTCAAGGTATCGCCCGTTTCCACTTGTGCCGCTGGACGGGAGGCTATGAGCAGAGCTTAGGGACTTCAACGCTGTCACCGTGGTTCCTGGCTTCCCGGGGAAAGAGGGTGGTCCAACCTTCACGATGTCACAGTTCATAGGTGCCCGAGGACACTCGCAAAAATTAACCCGTAAAAACAAAGTTTTTCACTATAAATCCTTCATATGCGTGGCATCGGGGCGGCTAGAGTCCTCTCGTCCTCTGGCTTGAGATGGCTGCCACCTATGGGTCAGATGATTGTCTGGCAGCATTAAACAATTGGTAATTAAATATTTAAAATTTTCCCCCTAAACTGTAAAATTTTGGAAATTTTTTTCACGAAAATGCATTGTCACGCACAACGAGTCTGTGTGCAAAATGTCAGCTCGATTGGATCACGGGAAGTGGGTTAAAACACGACCGAAAGATTTGCACGGTCCTAAGCAAGCAAGCGAACTTAATATAACGGATTTAATAACCTATGTTTGGGAATCAACCGTCCCAGCTTATTGCCGAATCATACACGCAATTTCATAGTATTGTCGTGAGCTAAACTATACATTTAATTGAAGATCATACCCGTAATTTCAACGCAATTAATGCCACCGGCTGATTTTGGGCAGCAATTTCAGACGCTGGGAAATTATTCGTATCACGGGAGTGACTTATTTTGATTGCATCAATCAATTGGGACATTGCGAGATATTTTTTTCCCACCTTGTCAACGAAGATTTCTAATATTCAACGTTGAACGTACTCGGACAAACTTGCGTGCATGCCAGGATGATGTTGGTGGATACATTTTCCTTGTTATCAATCCACTGACATGTCATTTTTAAATCCTTTATATTAAGCTCACTTGCTTGCTTGCTTACGACCGTGCAAATCTTTCGGTCGTTATTTAACCCACTTCCCGTGATCCAATCGAGCTGACATTTTCCACAGACTCGTTGTGCGTAACAATTAATGTTCGTGAAAATTTTTTGTTCCAAAATTTTACTGTTTAGGGAATTTTTTTCAAATATGTAATTACCAATTGCTTAATGCTGGCAGACAATCATTTGACCCATAGGTGGCAGCCATCTCAAGCCAGGGGACGAGAGGACTCGAGCCACCACGCATATAAAGGATTTAGAGTGAAAAACTTTAGTTTTTACGGGTTAATTTTTATGTAATTACAATACTGTAAAAAAGATACCCCATACGTAAAACGTTAACATTTTAACCGGTTTCCTATGCAACTACTTCATGGTACCTCCTTTGCCACGCCTCTGGTCTAACACCGTTCGAGACGAGGCTCAAAAGAAAGCTGTCTCTGGTGTGGACCAATCAGTTTCAAGGACAATGTATATTATCAGTATGTTTTGTTTGCATTTTGACCACAAGTATTGTAGTTAATGCAGACAGGATTCCTTGTAAAAGAATTCAGTTTGAGGTTTTAACATCTTAACACCTGTTTTGTTGCCAGATAAAAGGGGAAGAAAACCCTATTCTCAGCATTGAGAATAGTTTTAAAAGGTGAAACTGTATAACTTGGAAGATATTACTACTGGACTTTGATAGCCGGTTATCATTTCTAATGCACTTGTAAAAGTACAGCTCATAATAAATAACATGACCTTTTAAAGCTAGTTAGCATTTCAGGTACAAAGGCAAAAAAATTGGAAACCACACGGCATATTTAAGGCGCGCAAGACGGTGTTTATTTCAAAACATCGTTTTAAAGTTCACCGAAAATGCGTCGTTATTTTGAACTGCTGCATGTCAGTCAGGTAAGGTATGTGAAACACAAGATACGGTCTTTCTAACTCAAAAATTACCTTGCAGGTCACTGAAGCAACCAAAAATGTGATGACCGAGGGAAAAAAAAAATCTTGGGGAATGCAACGCTCCATACGGTTTATTCTCTGTACAGATTTTACAAAGTCAAACTTCAGCAACATGAAACCTTAAAATGTTAAAGACATCTAAATCCATTACTTGCTTACTGAAAAGCAATATCCCATTGATGCGTAGGCATTGTATGCAGCCCAGCGTGCAGCAATAATTCCTTAAACAATGTTTAAAAAGCATGCTGCATTTGGAAAAACTTGCAGATATGGGCAGATAAAAATACTCTGTACGTTCAGGCATCTTCATTGTCTATAACTCAATTTCGGCAGGTCTTAAAAGAGTTTGTACCAACATCCGTCGGACCCACAATGTCATCAACGTCGGGGAGGGGGGGAGATGTTGGTTTTCATTGTGTTGAATGAAGTAGAGTCCACTTTCACTGGTGCATCAATCGTCAACCCGACTATCGCTCTTCAATCACTCTCGGCAACTTCGTCATCAGAATGTTCTCCCTTTTCGACGGCGTTCATCTCGGTGGCGGAGTCGTCTCCTCCTTCCTCTTGCTCCTCAATCTCCTCCCAGTTGTCCTAGTGGCAAAGACAATCTTTTTCATTAATGTGCATTAAAGGAAGATGCTATTCCTAACCCAGACTGTCCAACAGGCATTTTAAGTTTTGCAACAAGCTGCCATTCCCGACTTCTAGGATGTCACCGCACTCTCGTTAGAAATATACAGCAGTGATATCAACAGAATAATATAACGGTTCACGTGAAAAACGTAACTGTATTTTATCATTAACATAGCTTCACATTAATACTGAGAAAAACCAAGACAACATTGCCGAGATACAATCTGCAATGGTAATTTGGTTTATTAATTTTTTTATTGAAGTAATATCATGTGATTGTCATGACATTTTAATCAAGTGTTAACAAATGCAGCCACTGAAAACCCATCTTCAACTTACAGAGTCCTCCTCTTTTCCCATGAGTTCATCTTCTGACACCTCCTCGTCTGATGATTCTGAAAGAAAATCAAAAGAACCGCAACAGTTTTAATGCCTCCGGAGGAAAATCAAAGCGACTCAAGCTGTGTGTAACCGCCCCAACGTTTTTTCATATTTGGAGCAGGGCAACAATGCTGTGTTTCACCGTTCTTTCCCCACACCCCGCTGCCACATGGACACAAGAAAAGTTCACCTTCAACAGCCATACATTTCCCTGACACTGAACAATTCAATCATTACACAAGAGGGGCATAAGCGGTGGTGGCTGTAGCCGCTGGAATTGCTTTCTCACCGCCCCCAACTCGCTGCTGGCAGAATGCCCGTCACTAAAAGGTATGTTGACCTACTCTTACATGCTGTCCAGGGAAATATTTATAGAGTTGGGAATACCGACACTTCACCCCACACCACATGCAACCTTTAATTTAATGTACTTATTCATCCAGGTGAGCGGTGGGACATTCTTTTTTAGGAGGGAAGTGTATTGGGTTTTTATTTTCAGATTCTTTGAGCCAATGAGTGTTTTGTTTCTGCAAGTGGGAGAAACTCAAAGCACCTAGGAGAAAATCCACATGCGTGGCGAGGGGGCAACACTATCCCGTGCAGATGGCGATTAGTCCACTTCCCGTACATGTACTGCCTTCTCTCCTGGTGAGCCAGGGTATGACACACCTCCTTGACACCCACGGTGAGGGAGCGTCACGACATTCGTGCGATCCACCAACTCTCGCCTCCAGTGCTGGATTTATTACAGGTGTGTGCGCCACCACCGCCCGGGCTAACATTCACCTTTATACTTTCGGGTGCGACAGTGGCAGGGGGGATTTAAAAAAACTTGCACCGTCGTTTAAACCGTCAGGCCAGAAGACCAAAGCCCAACTGAGAATTAAAATGTACCTTCTTCATAGACCAGTTGGGCAGTTTGCTGCACACCACTCCCAATGTTTGCTTTCCTTGCGACGTCCAGCTGAAAGAAACATTAATTAATTGGTATTGTGGAAGCAGCTTATGGGTATACATTGGGGGGGGGGGGGGGAAGACGCGTACAAAGTAAAACAAAGTTACAACAAAAACCCGGTTTCTCCAAACCCAGCCAAATTTTTCATTTACCTGTATCTATTCAGTTATAATCATAAATAATTCACACAGCCTCCAGAGTCTCCAAGTGTTAGGCTGGCTGCTGACGTGTACTTCCGAGATGAAGGTACATTTTGGGATCTTCCACGTATTTTATTCAACTGTGTTTACACTCACGGAATATTATTGTTAAGAGATTCATGTTAGCGTAACGAGGCTATGTACGTATGCTGAAGTTCTTTCGCGCTATACATAGTCAACCGTGCAAATCGGAGGTGCAGGGAAGGACAACAAAAATGTGGGGGGGGGGAGGATGCTATGGCATCATCACCTGGCTCATCATGAGGCAGAGCTTGCCGCTCATCTGCGCAAGCCTCTGGTGAACGCGGATTCGACTGTCCATCAGCTGATAGAGCACTGCCATCTGCTGCACCAAATCCGGAATCTATATACACACACACACGGGATACTCTTTATGATGCCAATAACATAGATGTATACCCACACCTTACCCTGCCAAAGCACCACTAAAAGCCGAATTAGAACGTGTAAAAATATAATTGAATACAAGCAGCAGTGCATAAATCGGAGCTCACATCCACATGACTTGCACACCTCTAGACAACACAGACACCTACTTATACAGGCTGAGCCATTCATGAGATACTCCACCGATTGATGATCCACTTGACTTCACTCTCAAAATTTGTTTCAGAGAGTAACAAAGGAATTTAGATTGCTATGAGACTTGGAGAAGTTTGAAAATAAAATGTGATTCTCCAATTTCTCCGTATAATTTTAGTCGGGGGCTTCTACAAATGTATTACATGCTTATAAAATATTTAAACATTCAAGGCACATTTTATCCGTAAAAGTAGCGAAGGACTCACCGCCGCCAAGTAAGACGCGTGGATGGTCAGCACGGCCCTCACCCACCGCATGGTCATCACAGCGCTACGGGTGAGAGGACACAAGGAGACGGTGGAATGTCATCAACCAGTGCGTGTGCACACAACGCAGTGTGGCGAACAAGAGCAGAGTGGGATCAGATTTTATCTGCCCGTTTGCAGAGGGGTTTGCAGCTTGAATCCAGAGGGCGCCCTGATTATTACAACAAGTTGCCCGTCAGGGTCCAACTATGCTGGATTGGGGTTATACACAGCAGCAATCATCACAACCTACTTACTGATCGACTAATGCCACAGGTCAATCGTGCAAAGGACAGCTATCCTGGTCTGAGTTTTCACCCTGGTTAAACAAAATAAACTTGAAATTTGAACTTGCAAACAAGTGTGAATGATTAACAGAGTTTAAAGATTAGGGTTTATCGCAAGCAACAGAATAAAACATGACATTACACTCACTTTCCAGACCAACAACGCATTTCAACGATCTCTTCGTCAAACTGCGTTGGCAGTGTTCGTTTTTGAACGATGCTTAATAACTCACATTTGGTCTATTGCCCTTCATGGATAAGGCCCAATGCCAAAAACGTCACCGATTATGTATACAATTATATATATCACGATAGAGCCGTTTAATTCATTGATGTGATGCGTTTGTACAATAAAGTTAGGATTATTGTAGAAAGTATTGTAATTTGTAATGCCCTAACCAATAGACTCTGGTTAAAAAAATAAGAGTGCAACACATTTTAAATAGTAGCGTCCGGAGCTACGGCAATCTCACCCGGCAGTACTTTTAGTACAGAGCACATGTTGACTGCTCTCCTATTACCCCCCCCCCGCCAGCACCCCAATGCAAATTATTCCTTTTTCTTGGCTTTCTTAACAGGGCAGTGCGTACACTTGCATCCCTTAAAACCCAACCAGAATGCAAAAGCAGACGCTCACCTGAATGGATGGCTCTGTATTCTCTTTGTAAGCTGTAGCAAAGGGCAAGAACAGACACACACACGACGAATGTTTTAGCCACACCAAAAGAACACAATGTCTGCAATGGATCGATTGCAGAGGTGCGCAAATGGGATTTCTCCACTAAAGATGTTTGCAGCCAATTAATGAGCGTTTATACAAGTGGGAGAGGATTTCTCCACTAAAGATGTTTGCAGCCAATTAATGAGCGTTTATACAAGAGGGAGAGGATTTCTCCACTAAAGATGTTTGCAGCCAATTAATGAGCGTTTATACAAGTGGGAGAGGAACCCGGAGCACCCCGTGAATACCCACATGTCTCAAGGGGCACGACTATCCCCCCCCCCCATACAGATTAGAACAGATGGCGATTAATCCACTTGCTGTACTGCTTTCTCCAGATGGGAACTAGGGTATGGCAGCTTGATGCCCACGGGAAGGGAGTTGGACAACATTTGTGCGATCCACCAACTCTCACCTCCAAAGTACCGGATGATTATAATCGTGCATAGTCACCACTTCCCGGTACGAATGAACAACATTCAACAAATGCCGTACTCGCACAAAACACATGAATACACAACGTGAAACGAATGCTTGAAACAAAACACCCGAATACACAGCTTGAAACAAGTAACTTAACACCGTGCTGCTGACTCGAGGCGAGGGACATGTGACCTCTACATTGTGGCCTTGGCGACATTATTAATATTACGGAGGCTGGGACGAGGGGGGGGTCAGTTTGTCGTGATTGAGAGGACGAATTGACAAAACACCACCACGCTGGTCAATGCGGCCTGGTGAAGTCAGGGCCAGTCTATGTTGCAGCATAGTACGGTGCAACAGATTTTACTGCACTGCTCCCCACTGACAACGCAGCACCGCAGGGAAATTGTACAACACCACAGCAAACCACTAATGGCGGGCAGGGGGGGTAAACTCACCACTCGCAGCAGAGGCATGATCATGTGGATGGCGAGCTGCTGCACCGTGTTGCGGATCACGATCTCGTTCTTGGTCTGCAGGACTTTCTGTAGGGCCGAGTGACAAGAGGCCGTCAACGGGCGCAACATGCGACGGTAGGCAAGTCGTTAGCAGACCAATACGCGCCTAAAAACCACTTGGAAAACCATCAGGGATACTGGATTTTTTAAATATTGACCATGATCCAATATTTGCTTAAGGAATAAAAGAATGATGGTACATCAAGATGCTCAAATGTAAATTTTGTTTACATGTCCAGATGGCACCGTTGCAAAGGTTTGCGTGTTTGCATAGGCATTGTTCCAGAGAAATGTTATTTTACTATTAAGACTGGCTACTACAGCACTTGTGCTTTAGCACTAAATATTTTACACGTTCATCTTGCAAAGCTGTAATTTTCTTCCCATTTTGATTTGTTTTAAAAAAGTTACTAAAACCACCATAGAGCTATGACCCCAACGGGTGCACCACTCCAACCACAATGCTTTACTGACCATCGATTTCATTTAGAAAAAATATGTTCGACTGCTCATGTCACACGGTTGTTTTTGCTCCGCTTTCCAATTGCTTCACGGCTGCACTTACAGATCTCCGTTGCTCAACGACATTTACGGTTAAGAACGCAGTATTAGCGATAACGTTCAAGCACTTCAGGCGACCTTTGGCGCACAGTACGTCGCTGATTAGACCGACACTGGGGACCTCGAGGTATAGGCAGATATGTTAAAAGGCCAGATACGTCAATATATTGAAAACGAAGATTACACCATGCACAGATGGTTTACCAAACAAAATTTAAGTGCAAACCGATTAAATTAAGTGAATTTACACGAGATTAACAATACATTCCTGCGTGCGAAAAGGTCGGTTTTGTGAACGTCTCAAGAAAACGAGTTGCACACCAAATACACAAACGCCACAACTGGGTGGTGCAGGGAGGTTATTTGTTCAGGGCGGACGATATGCGACGGTCAGATACGTAACATTTGGACTGTACAGGGTGGTCCAGATGTCTTGCGACTGCCAAATGATTACCCCATAACACTTTCTCCCCTCTGCATATTCATTTGTTTGAAATAAACCTTGTTAAAAAAACATTACGATTTACAAATAAAAATTGACAGCGCTGTGCAAAACAGTGAGCGTCGATCGTCACGTGGGTCCATGGGGAGAGGGCGGCCGTTGCCGGGGGGCTTGCTCACGTTGAGGATGTCGCTGTCGTTGCTCTCCAGACCCTGCGTGAGCAGGACACTGAAGCCGTCCGCTTGCGGCTGCTCACCCGGCCGCCTGCCGCCCTTGCCCAGCTGCATGGTCGACAAGCGCTCCTCCAGGCTCAACTGGCGGCGCGTAAAGGCATCACGGAGGCGAAATTCATAATGAGAATATTTGTCGATTCTGGAGGAATGAGCTCTTTTTTCACAGATGTCCAGCAGGGGCAAGTCACGTGACAATACAAAAACACGATAGGAGTGCAAAGTATAGGAAAGGCAAACACCAATCACTAATAAACAATACAAATAAAACCAAACAATTTTAATCTTACCCAGGCAAAACCCACTGAGACGCGACCTGGCCAAAAATGATAGCTCAACGAAACAGCTTATTATGTGGAAATTTATAGCAGCAACATAATCTAGCCAACAAAGACGCGGCTAACCACTGCTGGCGTGCAGCCGGTGCTGCATCCAACTTTAATGTCATCAGAAACACGTTGGCAATTCTCATCATCCATGTAGAGCCAGGGACCTTCCGAAGCAGTTCAAGTTCCGATTTAAAGCTTTCGTGACTGCAGGGATTCATCTTCTTGGTTCTTTCGGTAAAGTCACGTAGAAGGGAAATAATAAAAAAACATAATAAAATACAATTCTCACGACGTTTCGGCCACAACGCAAGCAGCCGTCCTCAGGTGAAGAACAGGTCTGTCGGAAAGACAGCGTCTGAATGAACACCACCAGGCTTGGCAGCGTATATTTACGCGTTGTGGCCGAAACGTCGTGAGAATTATTTTATTATGTTTTATTTTTATTATTTTATTATTTCCCTTCTACGTGACTTTATCGAAAGAACCAAGAAGACAGTTCAAGTTCGTCACCTCGCAGAATGAGTTCTCTGACATGGGCTGAAGCAGTGCTTTTTTTGTGAGAGTTGCAAACGAATATTTGATCACCTCATGATGCCAATAAACACAAATGGAATTTGGAAAAACAAAACAAAATAGCGTCACACCAGTCGAGACTCTTGGGTCTAAGCATGGATCAGAAAAATCTGAAACCCCAGTGACTGTCATTACACAGATGATCAAGTTACTAGGGCAGTGATGACACTCGGTGCTTCATTAAAATTGGATCACCTTCAGGTGGTCAAACCAAACCCATAAACACTGCAAATGATGCGTAGAGAACAGACTCCTCCAGTCAATGTTATTTTCAGGAAAGGAGTGAATTTAAAAATCATAAAATCGGGGTATTGTATTACCGCCTGAAACACTACCAGCTTGCGGTGAATCCAAAGCCATTTGGGAGAGTTTGTCTACTTCAATGTTCCAATTTTAAGTCTCGACAAACAGTGTGTGCACATGAATTGTAAACAATAAAACAAATTGAACATTGACAGCAGGATACTATTATAATATGCCTTCCTTATCCCTCTTCCAGCAAATTAGTATATTAAATTAAAACCAAGCAACTGTACCACCACATTTAAAGCTTTCATGACTGCAGGGATTCATCTTCTTGGTTCTTTCGGTAAAGTCACGTAGAAGGGAAATAATAAAATAATAAAAATAAAACAATAAAAATAATTCTCATGACGTTTCGGCCACAATGCAAGCAGCCATCCTTTGACGCTGTCTCCCCGACAGACCTGGTCTTCACCTGAGGACGGCTGCTTGCGTTGTGGCCGAAACGTCGTGAGAATTATTTTATTATGTTTTATTTTTATTATTTCCCTTCTACGTGACTTTACCGAAAGAACCAAAAAGATGTACCACCACAATTGCAAAAGTCCACATCGTAAGACAAAAATGCATAAAGGTCCTTAGGAAACACCCTCCCCGCACGAAGCACTGTGGAGATGGAGCAATGAAAAAAGTTTGTGCAGTAAGCATCCCCCGCCCCCCACAATATAGACAGGGAAGACGTTACAGCAATATACAAGGCCTTGTTGCCCCGGGGGCCCCACCAGTTACCTCTGCAGGTGTGGCCGTCTCGTTTCCCTGGTCTCCTTTCCGCTTTTTGCCACGCCCCGCTTTCTCCAGCACCGCCACAGCCTGAGCTGTGCTCGTGTGGCCCGGTACACCGGGCGCCAACACCTTGGCCTTCCCAGGCACCAGGGGGGTCTTGGTCTGTGTGCGCACGCAAACCAGCACCACACATGTTCATCACCACAGCCACTCATCGCCACCACTCCCCACTATGATCATAAAATTAGTGCGTCTCATTATGCTACACTGCTCAGTCTGAAGCATACACAAGATCTAATTTTGTATATTTAAAAGTTACCCATGATCCTGATGAGTTTTTTTTATTGAACAATGATATTTTACAGTGACGGGCCCATAGCAAAAATGGTTGGCTCTTGTGCCAATGACATATGCCAACTGTGGTTAAAAGCCTGACAGCTCATGGGGCCGAGAAATGCAAAACTGGAGACTAGTTTGACTCATTAAGCAATCGTCTTGGAGGCCTAATGGCTGATGGGTTGAAAACATTTGATCAAGGCATTTCTCTCCCCACTTATATTTAGGTTAATATTCATTAGTTTGCTCCCACCGGTCATTTAACAAGTGCAAGATCCGATATTGATTGTACGAGTCCAGAATCCTCATCTTTCTCTTACATCCTTCTAATTACATCGCCGCCTGCCTCTGATATAGTCCCTTAGGAATAGTCGCGTGCAAATCAATTTCAACAGCAAAGATACTGGGGGTTGCCCAGAGTTGTAAACCCTGGCTGTGCCAGCCTGACAGCAGTCGGCGAGAAAGTGAATATTTCAGGCCGAACCGTGTTCCGGGCTGCGCTTCGCTTTTGCTTCCGTAAAACAAACAGGCGACCACGACACGGGCGTCCTGTGAAGGCTGGAAGCACCCAGTCTCCCTGCACAACCGTATACGAGCATTCACCCACTAGAACTTCAATCACTTTTTAACACATTTGTATTGACGCAATTGTTTAGAGCGTAAGGGTATCACGAATGTGCTGTGGCACAGACGAATCTAGTCTAAGAGTATACTCTTTGTTTTTTTCGGTAAAGTCACGTAGGTAAAAAAGAAAAGAAAAAAGTATTAAATCACGACGTTTCGGAGGCAACACAAGCTTCCGTCTTCAGGTGGCACCGTCACAGCAAACACTTGATACAGTAATTTTGCCTCCGAAACGTCGTGATTTAATTAATTTTTATTTTATTTTTTACCTACGTGACTTTACCGAAAAACCCAAAGAGTATAGACCCTTGCAGTCACGAAAACTTCAAATCTAGAATTAGTCTAATCGTTTAGCTAAATAATAATAATCACAACTTATGAGCGTGACTAAACGGACCTTCGTGACTTTGGTTTCCATCTTTATCGCCAGGCGCGTCGGCTCGTCTCGGACGAGGCACACCATGCTCTCAGACTTGTCGATTGCCTGCGTAGGAAAAAAACCGTGACAAGTGATCAAAAAATTAAAGATGGATATAGAAACAAAAATCATCTCTCGCTCGGTGCACGCAGTTTCTGGGTGACGTGATATGGGAGCGTGGAACTCACCACGCGCTCCAGCACTGGGCGGATGCTGGGGCCGTACGCCAGCATGAGGGAGCACTGGTCAGCGCAGAACGCAGCGGCAAGGACAGGCAAGGGCCTCGGGGTCTCGTCTTTGCCTTGCGTGACCAGCTGCAGCGACCAGCTGGGCTTCAAGGGTTTCTTGCACGTACTGGTGAAATGGCGGCGGGCAAAAGACAAGTGGAAGAGCGGAGGAGTTTAATTCTGGTCTCGTTGGGCAACCCGAAAGAGAAACGTGAATGGATAAGTGGACCCCTACCGCTATGCTTTTGTTAGCAGGTAAACGCATAGATAGCTGGAGGCGAGACCTATTAAGATAGATGGACATCCTGAAATGTTCCCAACCAGACCCATTTGAACATCCAAGGAACTACTTGGTGTCCTTGTCTCAAAGACACTTGGCTGCACGTAACCATGTCAGAATTACACATGGGAGGTGCGGCTATCTCCTCCATGTGGAAAATTCAAGTCGCTCAATTGTGACTGCACTCAAGTGCAATGCATCACTCGCATAACATGCATAGTATGGCATCGAGTCTATGGGTCTCTATTCAGAGTGCACTCACATCACCGACGACTGCCAAATACTGCTTTTGCAGGAGGTACAAATGGATTCTGGTCACTACAGATGCCATTATAGAGCTCAACTCAACGTAGTTACAAACTGTCATTACTCTTTGGTTCTTTCGGTAAAGTCACGTAGATATAAAACAAAATAATGCAGTCACGAAAACTTTCAAATCTAGATTAAAATCTGTCATTGCCACGCAAAAAAGTTTGGGAATGGACAGGTGTCTGTATAAATTAATGAGGTGTTCATAATTGTCACGAGTACTTACCCATTGAGGATATATTCAAATATATGAAGTTTTCCATCATTGCACACCACGACAACCTTCATAGGCTGTAAGTAGCAAAGAAGAACACGGTTAATATTACTTCTGCAAGGAATAGCACAAATCAGAACTGACCGTGTCATGCTGTCGCTGTAAAATATTGACAGGCGACAGCACTGGCTGCTGCAGCTGCCTGCTGCTTTGAGTATGCACCGATCCCCCTGCCAGCAGATTGAAGTGGTGTTTTCCAAAGTCTGCACCACCACAGGCCATGTGGGGTCAAATTTTTGCAACACACAATCTCACCTCGTCACTTTTTTCAGGCCGCACCAGGTCCACGTAGGTGGGTTCGTCGGTGAGCGTCAGAGCAACGGCAGGCGTCTTCTTGTTGTCGTCCTTCACTTGCCTACTGAGCAAGACGTAGAGGGCAAGTGAACATCGCGGCATGCACGGGGCTTTTTTTGTGCGACACATGCAAGTATGTCTCATCCATGAGCCAAGAGAATAATGCATCTTCCCAAAGGGGGTAAAAGTTTAACAAGCAAAAACATGTGCAGGCAGAGCAGAATTTTAAGTTAGGTTGCAGATATTACAGAAGTTAAGAATAAGTATTTAAATCTCCTCGTCAATCCACTACTAGATGAAGGCCAACCTACACCGTATCGGGTGTGGAGGTTGTTGACCATACCATGCTGCTGAGTGCAGGTTGGTGAAGGGTGGGGAAGGTCCAAGACTGGTTCAGATACCACCCATCGGAAATTTAACAGGTCGCTGGGTTATTAGCGAAATTGGCAAATTGCCGCTCCACAGCTCTATTCCTGTAGTAGTTACCAAATTATAATTGCGTGCAATGTAATCCTCGTCACTGCAACACCAATGAACTTGCATAATGAAAGAGCATTTACCGCTTGATAAAATGATACAAATGGCATGGAAAGAGGTCTTATAACATAGCCAAAGGCATCCAGGTTATTTTGAAACGTGTTAGTAAAAGGGTACAATAACGTACAAAAACAAGAAAAATGTTAGCAAGTACTCAGACACAGCCAAGGTAAAGGTGTCATCATGCATCTCAGGAAAGCGAAACCAGAAGGTTAATCATCACCGTACTTGCATCACTCAAGTAGCCAGCATCGCACCTTCTAAAGTTAGGGTTAATGGAACAGGAAAAAGGAATATATTAAGTGGGAGGGGCTCCGACACTTACCAGACATTTAGGAATCTGTCGTGAGCTGCGCCCGTGATGAAGTAGAGACCCGTTATGCCGTCGAATGACTCCATGTCATTTGGTGGATGCGTGGTGGCGAACATCATTAAGGACACTGTCGTGGCGTGACCAGTGAACTTCTGCAAATGTGAATATGAACAGAAGGAAAGTGCAAATTAGCAATGAATTATTTAATGTTTAGTTTGCATCAGTGAAACTGAATTGGTTTGCAGCATGAATAAGAGTGCACCACCTTACCCTGAGTAATTTCTTCGTCTCCAGATCCCACAGTTTGATTGCTCGACCAGCAGAGATTAGGCTTTTCCCATCAGGACTCAAACACAACGAGCTCACGCCTCCTTTGTCCCCTTTCCATTTGCTGGCGAAAGAAAAAAGTTAAGCAAATTTTATATATAGTCAAAGTTGAAATGCAATTTCGTTTCACGGAATGCCTGTATTTAAACTATTCACCCGGCTACTCCTGAAGTCATTCACTGGGCTCACTCGCCAATCTCGACAAACTCCACCCCATACAAATGCAGGTCACCATGCAAGCATCCATATATAGACACACCACTCTCACAAATGTAGTGCTACTATGCTGACTTATACCACCTTGAACAATAGGTGAAGCGTAAGAACGCAGCAAATCTGCTCACCACTTGACTTTTGCCGAGACAACGCTCCATTCCACTATGTGCTGATCTTCAGCGCAGCTGTACAGCGAGTCTGTCTCCGGGTGCCACTGCACGCAGTTCACTCGACCGTCATGCCCGCCATCCTGCCAGGGACCAAACAATGTCACTACATGTACGAGATCACGACGTCTTCGTGGCCAAAGCCGTTGATGCCATTTCCATACCTCACCAACGTTTTTTACCCTCTTTCAGGTCCCGCAGCTTATGCACAGTACATATCTGCCCAGACATAATCCCACCATATGTTCTTAGATATTCCTCTTGGTTGCTCAATTTGTAAAGACCACTCAAATACTGTTTGACTAAATGTTCCTCCCCTATCCTGCATACGTTCTACCCAGCGCAATTTTTTTTTTACACTCAAACAACCCTCTCAGCAACGTTGGGAGGCTTTCATAGAATAATAGATTTACAAAGGCCTGTAGGTGATTTTGTGATTTAAAAACGGTACAGTAATGTACCACACATGAACAACATATGATCGAGTACTTGGACACGGCCAAGGTAAAGATGCCATCATGGTTTTCAGGGGAGCAAAAACCAACACAAGGTGGTCATCATCGTACTTGCATCTCATGCAGCCGGCATCGCACCATGAATCGCACGAGACAACGGAACGTGAGAAGTGGAAGACCGGAACACTTGGCAGATATAAGATTTTGTCGTGAGCAGCCTCCATTATCTAGTAAAAACCTGATGCATTGAAACTACTACGTCATTTGATGGATGTGTGGTGGTTTTTAAATGGGATGTTTGGGCACAATAACCAAATTCTTCATTTAAAATTCATATCATCCTGTGCGCAATTGTATAACTGCTATACGGCCTCCCAAAGTTGCTGTAAAGCACCTTCGAAATGCACTAGAAATCTAGATTACATAAATGTAATTGAGGAGTATTGCATAATTCATGTAATTTTTTAAGAATACCAACACTTAAGGTAGGCGATGGTTAGCTGCTCAACGCATTCATATCTTAATTAAAGAGGGCAACCGAGTGATAACATTAACTCAATTTTTAACATACACAGCTGTCAACCCAGTGCTGGATAATGGCCTCCCGAAGCCATGTGGGATGCAGGAGTTATTTAACCACACTTCATCACGCTGGTTAAAGTCAGTGGTAAAGCGAGAAAGCATTGATGTGGGAGCATATCAATACAGTACATTGATTCTGCTGCAGTCCGCTACTGCCCACAGCGTAGCAGTGGAAGGCCATAACACCTGTAAAGTATGGTGGTCGCTCATTCAAGCACTATCCCGGCTCCAATCTGCTTCGCTTCTGAGTTCACCTGGAACATTCCCAGTGATTTGGTCGTAGCCTCATCAACCACGAGGCACCCCAAAGCCAGCAGGCTCGTGGAAGAATAAAAACCACACTCACCAACTTGCTGTGTAGTTCCCCCTTGACGGTGCTGTAAAGCAGCACGCTGCCCACGGCTGTGCCCATCGCCAGCAGGTCCAGCTCGGCCAGCCTGCCCGTCGTCTCCGATCGCCGCTTTTTCCTCTGCGGCGCATCCTGGTGTAGCACGAGGTGCGCGAACAAGTACAATTTGCACGGTCCGAACGATGGTAGTCGCAGCCCCACGTGGGCAATCCCACAAACCAATCGACCCGTGCGCCCTCCTCCAACCCCTGAATGTCAAGTCACCATCGTGTCTCGCTTAATTGCATTAATTCATTAGCTTTTTTTAATTGCTACTGCATTAACCACAAACTGCGGCGTTTGATAAAACGCGCAGCCTAGAAATGCTCATTACGTCAGCGTGACCGGCCCATTAAAACTTAATGTACATCGGCATGTGCGAAAGCACAAATGAAAATCACTCATCGCCTTCACAATGTCTTAAAACAAACTATAAATATATTGTTTTAAATATTATACGAACGTGTTCACGTGGCGAGCAATGGCTTTCATTTTCTAGGTAGACATTAAGCAAATGGCCACAATTTTAAGCCACTCCTACTACAGCACGTACTTTTGGCATTAATCCATAATGTTTCAAACGTTTAGCAGTATTGTGTTATAACTAGTACTAACGCAAGAGCTTTCAGACCATTCCAGCAAACACGTGTCTGAGCCCCGATAAAGTGGAGGGGAGTACCGCCCTCGGATAGTCACTTCGCGGGGTTCGCACGCGACTTTCCCCGCTAGATCGCCAGTCCCACGCCGTAGGCCCGAAGTTACCGCGTGAGGCCTACCTTGCACTTTCTCGGAGGGCCCCAACTTAGGCAGCTGCACGTGGCGCTCAGATGCGAACTGGGCGCGTACTCGTGCCGAAGTGCGCCGCTACTCGCGTCCCACACGTACACGCGGCCATCGGGCGACGCAACGGCGAAGCATTTCGTGGGGTCCGAGGAGTAGGCGCACAACGCCACCGCCGACGCCGCCATTACTTCTCCTTCTTCCACGTGTTGGGCCGAGGCGCATGTGCTGCTAAGCACGACGGGAGCCGGAAGTTGAGGGGCAGGAAGGGTGGGGGGCGGGTTAATACAGAGGGGGCGGGCTTAGTGAGGGGGGAGGGGCAATAGAAGAGGGGGGGGGGGGACAATGGGAGAGGGGGGAAGGGGCAATATGAAAGGGGGGCGAGGTAATTGAAAGGGGGCGGGGCAATGGAAAAGAGGGCGGGGTAATTAGAGGGTAGGGGCGGGGCAATGGGGGGAGGGTTTGGGGTAAGGGGATTGGGGTCAATTTTAGATTTGAAGCTTTCGTGACTGCAGGGATTTATAAGATGAATCCCTGCAGTCACGAAAGCTTTAAATGGAAATTTAGGGATTAATATTCTTAGGTTTTTTCGGTAAAGTCACGTAGGTAATAAATTACAATTAATAAAAGTAAAATAAAAAATAAAATAAAAATCACGACGTTTCGGAGGCAACACAAGCTTTCGTCTTTAGGATTGGGGTCAGGTTAATGGGAGAGTGTCTGGGTTATGGGATATGGGTCGGGGCAACGGGAGCTCCAGACGATTCAAAAGACACCCGGCAACTTACTCTTTGTTTTTTTCGGTAAAGTCACGTAGGTAGTAAAAAATAAAATAAATAAATTAACGGTTCCACCTGAAGACGGAAGCTTGTGTTGCCTCCGAAACGCCGTGATTTAAGTTATTTATTTTCCTTTTTACCTACGTGACTTTACCGAAAACAAACAAAGAGTATGGGACCCTTGCAGTCAGAGCCGGCCCAGCCACTAAGCGACCCTTGCAATTGCAAAGGGCCCCGTGGCCAGCAGAGGGCCCCCTAGAGTCACTGCTAGCTCGTGGGTGAAAAAAATCATACATCAAAGGGGCCTCCAACCAAATTTTGCTTAGGGCCCCCAAAGGTCTAGGGCCGGTTCTGCCAAAGGTCTAAGGCCGGCTCTGCTTGCAGTCACAAAAACTTAAAATCTAGAACACGGAACTTGTCACGAATGGTGAGCGGAATGTCGAAAGATGTTCGCTGGCAGATGTAGGGTTCTAAGCGTGTTATATTAACACGAAGGCTTTCGCGACCAATATCATCCATAACAGAGTTGTTTTGGGTTAGATCTTGTAAATATAAAAACGTGTCGTTAAAACCCGCCACCACCCGACACAGCCAACTAGATGATCTAAGAAGTATCTTCCGGAAGACATCTTCCAACATCCCGTGTAAGAAGTTTGACTTTAAAAAAATGAAATTACTTGGTGATGCTGCTGCTGCTGCGTTGGCAGTGGTGTAAATGTTGTGGCTTGGCTCTCCAACACACCGGTGTGCTGTACTACTACACTATACACTACACTATACACTACACTACACACTAGTGCTGTAGTAGTGACGAATTGGCCACGTTCTGTTTACGTGACAACCCTTACTAGTTGGCTGTGTCGGGTGGTGGTGGGTTTTAACGACACATTTATATATTTACGCGATCCAACCCCAAAAAAAACTCTATTATGGATAAGCGTGTTCGAGTTATACCACGGAATAATCAGCACAGTCGTGGGATAATATAAGCAACAAAACATTTATTTAACATCTGGCAGTTCAGAATTGCGTTTTTAATTCAACCTGAGACTGCTGCTGATGAGACACTAACCGTGGAAACCGGTCGAGAGTTTAACGTTTTGTTGAACCGATGCTCCTGATAAGATTTTTTTTCACGTGGTGGGACTAATGTGGGAGAGAAGGAAGCGTGTTGTCTGCTTCTCTTGTGTCATGAAGAAGGGTTATTGCATGAAACGTCACATGTTTTCCTTTGAAAGCCATTCACTGTTCGCGACGAAAGTGTTTTGTTAATTGTGCACCACTGCCAACACAGCATCAGCCAGCAGCATCACCAAGTAGTTTAGTTTTTTTAAAGTCAAACTTCTTCACGTAATTTCGGTAGATGTCTTCCGGAAGAACTTCTGAGAGAATCTTCTGGAAGTTTCCGGTTGAGATGGTGTTTGAAAAAAATGAGTTTTTGAAAGGGAAGACACGTGGCAGCTCCTGCACGTGCCTCCAGCTCACAGCCAGCAGATGGCCCCCGTGCGATTGTGACAAATCCGCCTTCACCACGTGCACTTCACTCATAGTCAGAGGTCGCAAACGGGTTTTGATTCCTTACCCGTACCCTGCCGCACCAGGGTCGCAAACGAGTACCCGATTGCGACCTCTGGGATGAAGCCATGTTGCAGGCGCGGGTGGGTTGATTCTAGGAACTTGAATTGTGAGAAGAGACAAGACGTTGGGAAATGAGGGACAAACGGTTACTCACCAGTGACTCACGGTCTACCCGTACCCGTACCCGGCCGCACCAGGGTCGCAAACGAGTACCCGATTGCGACCTCTGGGATGAAGCCATGTTGCAGGCGCGGGTCGGTTGATTCTAGGAACTTGAACTGTGAGAAGAGACAAGACGTTGGGAAATGAGTGACAAACGGTTACTCACCAGTGACTCACGGTCTACCCGTACCCGTACCCGGCCGCACCAGGGTCGCAAACGGGTACCCGTACCCGGCCGGGTACGGGTAGCCGGATATCGGGTAGGGTACGGGTATCGGGTACCCGGTTGCGACCTCTGCTCATGGTGCACACGTGTACACATGACAGGCGCTTTGTTCGTCCACTGCTGGGTGAGGACCTCCCCACGCATCTGGTGCGGATCGTGGGGAATATTTGGCCATACTTCACCACACAGATCAGTAAAGGCGGGGAGCATAACGGCACAGCATCATATTTGAACTGATTATTTGGTGATTTATGCGTTGGCAGTGGTGGACAAGCACACATTTGAAAAATGCAACCCATTTATCAGTAACACTGTGGCCTTTAAAGAAAAAAATACAATGCCCCTTCTTCATAGGGCATGATGATATTGCAACAGTGAATTTTGCTGCACTGCCCTCTGCATACCAACACATGAGGCCTGCATGGTGGTCACCCATCCAAGCACTATCCAGGCTCAGATATTATATGAATAACCATTACGACTTGCACGACATGGGAAATGCCATCATACATACAGCAGTGTATTGACGAAAGGGCTGTACTGTATAGTGCATGTAAAGATCACCAATGCCATCTGCAAACGTGACTTCGCAAACGTGGAAATCTACACATACAGTACATATTCTTTGGGTCTTTCAGTAAAGTCACGTAAAACAAAACAAAATTGTTCTACGTGACTTTACCGAAAGACCCAAAGAATATGAATTCCTGCAAGTCAAAGAAAGCTTTACGTCAAGACATGCAATACACTTTGGATTCAGAAAGCATCCAATTTATATTTGCTACCGAATCACAGGACGCCGTGCGGATACAATGGACACATTGATTTTTATAGAGAGGGGCAAAATTAAGAGGAAAATTGGTCTTGAACTTGGACTTGGAACAGTGGCAGTGAGTCAAAAATACGCACGTGGCTGGGAGAACGGAGTTAGACCCAGAGCAGCAGATAATGATTAATATTCAGCGGGTGCAGAATAGGCAGAACAAAGCCTCGGGCTATGACATCTTACAAAATATTTCTTTGAGATGTCAAATATGAAGTAAAATCGCCACAATACAGTGTTAAGGAGAACCCCATTGGAGATTGCAGAGCGGAGCTGAGATGACGGCTCACGTGTTTAGAACTGAATTTTAATTGCCCAGGGCAAGGTGTGCACTCAATAACCTGTTATTCACAGTTTCATATTAATTGGAAGCCCTTGGCAAGTGGGACATTGCCTAGACAATTGTGCTGCGATAAGTGAGCCACTATTCCTGAACTTCATGGTGCTGTGCAGATGCCACTGCTGCTGCTGTTTGTCTTCAATGGCGATATGCAGCGCTGCATTCACTGCTTAAGAATGGTGCCAAATGCACTCCCAAGAGCGTGGGAAATTTGACCTCTGCGTCAAATAAAGAGTGTGATAAAGCCTTTGATTCAGGTGGCATTTTTTTTCACTGAATGTCAACTTTCATAAATTACCCTGGGATTACCTCATTCAATTCTCTGTTGGGGACTGCTGTTACACGGGTTAAGTATTGGACTTTTTCCACTTGGTGCCGAAGCATGTGCAGCTTTTGTTGAAAGAAATAACAAAATGGCAGGCCTCTACGTTGAATGCAGTGTGCAGTCACGACGAACACAACACACCAAATTGTTCCTTAATGTTGCCTTATACAGTGAAAAATAAATACAGCGGTAGGCCCGATATTTTGTGGTCGCGTGTCCCTGCCTGGTAGGCTGACACGACACCTGAGAAAGACAGGCAAAGGTGGAGAGAGATGGCAGCCGAGGCATCGGTGGGATAGAGGACAAGTCCAACGTTTCAGGCAATAGCCCTGCTAGAATGGGAGAGGGGGAGGCGGGGAATGGACGGTCATTGCCCCTAAACATCAGCCTATTAAAGAATGTGTTCCGTTTATGAGAGACGTGAATATATTATCTTAATTCGTACTTGGCAAGGGGATGTATTAAATTGGTCATTTGGTTGCTTGCCTAATATCAATTAAAAGCCCGCTTTGGAAATTGTGTCATTTTGTAAAGGCGATTACATCGGCTCGTGTCTCATTTTAAACGTATCTTATTGCAGGAGCTCATGAAACGCATGCGCCAACGTACAAAGGCAATTTGCACGTCGAGCAAATTGCTTGCCATTTGCGCGTGCTTATTGCCCCCTTTTTACTGCGCCGTCTCAATGAAAGTCAAACAGCATGGGGCTCTTTGTGTTTTAATTACCGCGGCATTAAAGTCAAGGAGAGGCCTGTCATTTTAAATGATCGTAAATGGTTATCCGATTAAATATTGGCACGCGAATGTATGGGTATATACGCAGTCCTGGGAAGATAAAACAAAGGGACTATGATAAATGTCCCCAGGTTGTTCGCGTGTGGGTTTGTGTTCGATAGGACCCTGTGGGGAATTACCACTCAGAATTGGGCATCAGGAAGCTCCAGGTGCAATTTTTTTTGTTTTGTTCCCGATGCATGGCCAAGAATTCAAAATACTGAAGTGTCAGATCCAG